ACGCACAAGGCCAAAGCTACAATGGAGTGGCTTAAGAACAAAAAGTGAATGTCCTTTATTGGCCCAGTTAAAGTCCTGACTTAAATCCTATTGAGACTCAGTGGAAAAACCTGAGAACTTCTGTCCGTAAGTGATCCCCAAGAAACCTGAGAGAGCTTGAGCAAATCTGCAATGAAAAATGGGGAACAAATTGCACCAAGCCTGTGTGTGAAGTTGGTAGAAATTCATGAGTTCACGGGTGTGAATACTATTTTCAATGTATCTGTGTTTACTTGTCTTTCAGCCCAGCTGCAGCTAGGCAAACACCACAAGCAATACCTGTGGCCTGAAAAAGGCCTAGTTTTCTGCAAATGCATAGCTGTAACAACAGCAATAGGTGTGTCAGATGTCAGCTATTCAACAATTGATCTAGAAAGTGTACTTGATTTTGGACGAATAAAGGGAACAGAAAAATGTATGAAGAACACATGCAGTGACATTGAAATGTTTGGAAGACTAGGTTGTTGAGGTGCAAGGGAAAACACAGTTTAACAACATCTATAAAGGTCTTCCAGAGGGAGCTCAACGAGATGTTTCTGTGGAACAGGGAGGTGGAGACAGCAGCACACGGTACTATGGCAGAAGCTATACCTGAAACCCAGGGTGTTTTTAAACGTCTTTGATATACTGACTTCTACTTCTGCAAAACAACAGGTGATTTTCCACCATACTTTCTCTAAAACCTCTGCAGAGGTTTTACTTGGGTTATAGCCCAGAAGTTTACCAAAATGAAATGTGCCGTTTCTGTGGTGAGGGAATCACTGAGGGAGGCTGGCTGTTGTTCCCTGCTGTGCTCAGAGTCCACCATAGTAGTGCTTGTGTACTTCATTGGAGGAAACCCGAGTGTTAACTCTGAAGGTCTCATGGACTAGAGGGAATAAATTTATTTTTTTATAAGTGCTCTGTGTCATATTCCTGTGTTATAGTCATGCAAGTAATTAAAATCAGAATGAGGTTTTTGATTTTTTTTACTGCTTCAGCTTATTAGTGACTTTTAATTGCATAGAGTGGTGATAGCTCAGTTTTTTAATGCTGTAATTATCACTGGGAACAAAGATCTCCCTTACTTAAACTTTCCTGTGTTTTTATAATTGTCCAAAGAGGCCTGAACTCCTTGCATTTATTCTGGTACTGATTAAATGTATATATTTTACAGGCTTTTGGTTTTGTTTTATGTGTCTACAATGTTCTGTAGGGGATATTTCTTCTGATGGTGGTTGCCTTGTGGTGATTCAACAGAATTCTGTCACCGCTTTTTTAGGGGTCTTGGAGGTGGATACCACTGATGCTAGTGGTGGTGGGTGGTGGTGTAATACTTTCTAAAATATTATGAAAATAAAAGTTCATAAAGTTCGTGGCCATTTTCTCTGAGCTGTTTGTTTTGCAGGATCCAGATGGCAGCGCAATGTGTAACGAAAGTTGAACTAACAGTCTCCTGTGAGAATCTCCTAGATAAAGATGTGGGTTCAAAATCTGATCCCCTCTGCATGCTCCTCATGAACACCACAGGAGCGCAGTGGTTTGAGGTCAGCAATGTTTCCTTCCTTTTTATTGCTTAGATAAAAAGGCCACTTCTGGCTTTTGACAGAGACTGTAGATTTTTCTCTTGCACACAAAGGCTTTCACATTCAACTGAGCTGCTGTACAGAAAGACAGACTTTCAGGTTTGTGACTCTGTCCAGCTGAACTGAAGTACTCTTGGCATAATCAGGTGCCAGCTTTAGTGCTGCTGTGGTTTGGTAAAGTTAGTCTGTTGTCCTACTGGATATTCCTTCTATTATGTACAGCAATGGGAATAGTGATCTACTTTTGAAATTTTCAATGGTACCACCAGCAGAAATTTGTGATGGCTCATTTCTGTTGTTTTTACACCTGGTCTCTGTTGAAAGCAATTGTAGATTGGTTTAATAGGAGCCAGGGGTGAAGATGTGTTAATATTTATTTTGTTGATTGAGTGACCTTGCATAAAGTCCTGAGGCCTACATCCATAAATAAAATACAATGTTTCTTCAGGTGGACCGCACTGAAAGAGTAAAAAACTGCCTCAGTCCAAAGTTTGCCAAGAAGTTTGTTATTGATTATTACTTTGAAGTGGTACAAAAACTAAAGTTTGGAATATATGATATTGACAACAAGACGATTGACCTCAGTGATGATGACTTCTTGGGGGAGCTGGAATGCACTTTGGGTCAGGTAAGCATCAATGTTTTTTAATTTTTGTGGTTTTATTTTTAATTTAGAAGGTTAGCTCAAGGCCAACTTCTTCATCAGGCAACCCTTCTTTTTTGGGGGGTTGTGCAAACAGTTATCATTCCCAGATAGATATTAGCCAATTACTTTTTACATGTTGGGTGCTTTTCTTCAAATAGTTTCTCCCAAAAGGCCCACACCCATCTTGCAAAGAATGCAGACACAAGTGCCAAATTTGGGGGTTTGCATTTTTGCCACAATTAAATAATCTATTCTAGAGTGTATCAGTAAGAGAAAAAAAATATTTACAAGGAGGTCCAGATTAAAATATAAGGCCTCTAGATAGCTTTTGAATGTTCCATTAGCCCACAAGCAGAACATATGGATATAAAGCTCAGCAGCTTCAGTGTCTCTGCTATATAAAGAACCTAATACCACCCAAAATATTAAAATGAATATAAATTGCCTTTTTTCACAGAAATATTCAATGATGGTTATGAGGATTCTGGCATGATTTCAGTTGTGGTTTGGAATGACAATCTGCATTTTTCACAGTGATCATTTGCTAAAATGTGACTTTTGTGTTTGTTTTTAGATCGTGTCCAGCAAGAAACTGACTCGACCACTTGTCTTAAAGAATCAGAGACCAGCAGGAAAGGGAACAATAACAGTGGGTTTGATTTAAAAAGGGCAGGGTGCCTGCACATCAGTTCTTTTATACAGAGAGAATAAGAATTTGCTGCACAACAATCTAAAGCTTTATAAGGGTTTATGGCCTATTTCAGGACTGGCTGGTTGAGAGAGGACTTTTAAGATTTCATCTTAACTTTGATTGCTGATGCTGGCTTTGGTAGGAGTCTTGAAAAGCACCATTTCCCTGCACTCTTTCACATGGGTTGGTGTACCCCATTACAACCTTACCATTTTTTTTATCTTTCCCACTTCTCCCTGGTTGTCTTATAGATTGTTTCCCTATGCATGTTACATTATACACAGCCGAACAGATGGGATTAGATAATGTCTGATGCTAAATATGAAATGAATTATTTCAATGTATCATTAGCTAGTGAAGAGGCCACAAAATGAAAACGGAGAGGCCTAGGTCAATGCCGTTATATTTATATGGTTCCATAGGCACTTAAAAATATCTGATTGACTTCACAAATACAGTTTATGCATGTCAGCACTTAATTGTTGTTTGTATTTTCAGTGGTGATTCTAGGTCTGTATTTATTAATCAAAATGTCTGCTGTGCGAAACTGTTAATGTGTAAGATTTCTGAGTGAACATGTAATCTACAGAAGCAGGGCAAGCCCTGATGTTGGGATGTTGAACTGTAGCCCGCCAGGGTTTATGTTGTGTCTAAGAAGAGATGACAAGTATAGAACCTCACAGCTGAGGAATGGTTTTAAAACCACTGTTAAATGAAAGGCTTTCTTGATAATCATTTTTTTTTCATTTTCTATTGACATAGATTAACGCAGAAGAAATCAAGGACAACAGGGTGGTGAATTTTGAGGTGGAAGCAAGAAAACTGGATAACAAAGTATGTGAGGGAACACCGGATATAGGTTCTGTTTTAAAAGGGACATTGTTTTTGAAAACATATATTGGCCATGTTTTACTAGATTTTAGGATGCAGTGAATAGTGTTGTGTTGTGTTAAATAGCCATAATACATACAGTACTCTTAGATTGGCTTAGATTAGATTTTGATTGGCTTTTGAAAGGAACAGTGTTGAGTAACAGTCCCTTATTAATTTCAGTTTTGTTAGCTAAGACACATGTTTAGCTCATTTGCCACATCAGAATTGCTTAAATAATTCCCATTCTGTCAACTTCCATTGTGATATTAATTTTGCAATTACTGTTTTGAATGGAACCAGCTATTGAAATATTTGACCTCTTACTGGTGTTCTGACTTTTGAATGACATTTATTCACCTTAATTCAAGGAGATGACCACCATTTAACCCACAACATTTAAACATCAGGTTCTGAGGTTTCTCTTTTTACACTGCTTCCAGAATGGCATGGGGGCTCAAATTTAATAATCCCGGGAAAATGTAAGCATTATTAAAATTCGCTTTTGAATTAAAATTTGTGTCAAAATACTAGCAACCAACCAAAAAGGGGGATGTGCCATCAGAACTTATTGCAGTCTGGCATTTGTCACACAATGTTTGACAGTGCTTTGATATCTTTTTGTACCAATTATGTCCTAATTATTTAATGCATAATATTAATGCTGTTTTTTCATCCTATTGTTAAAATTCTTTGCACAACATTAACATTAATCATTTTCAGCATCAAATTCAGAACCCACTGGTTTAAGTCAGATTTGGTCTGTTTATTTTGTATTATTTTGTTTAAAAGCGATATAAAACATATATAGTTTCATGAAAATTTGTTTGCTCCATTTCAGATTTTCAGAATGTTTACATATTTTCACCAGAGAAATGTTATCAGAGCTTCAAATGTTTCCCATTGTCTGAATGAACAGATAACATCAAAGTTTGGTGCTTGTTTCATTTATTTTATAAACAAAGTCAACCACCATCCAGTGTCCCTGTGTGAAAAGTTAATGTGCCCTTAAATTCAGTAACTGGTTGCACCACCTTTAGCTGCAATAACTGCAATCAAACACTTCCTGTAATTGTTGTCCAGTCTCTCACATTTCTGTGTGGAAATTGTAGCCCATTCTTCCATGATGAACTGCTTCAATTTAGTATCATTTGAGTGTTTTCTAGCATGAACTGCTCATTTTAAGTACTTCCACAACTTTTCTGTGGGATTTTAGGTTTGGACTTGGCCATTCCAAATCACTGTCTTTTTTTTCATCCATTCTCTCAAAGACTTACTTGTATGTTTGGGATAATTGTTTTCTTGCTTGAAGACGCAATTGCACTTCCAGTCCAGCTACTGGACAGGTGGCCTGATATTCTCTTGTAGAATTCTCTGATACATGATACAAAGCAGATTTCAAGCTGCTTCATTGATGGCAAGATGTCCAGGTCCTAAGGCAGCAAAGCATCCCCAAACCATGAAAACTACCACCTGCTTGACAGTTTGTAAGAGGTTCTTATTGTGGAATGCGGTGTTCGGTTTTCACCAAACATAATGGCACCCATATTCCCCAAAAAAGTGCTACTTTTGACTTATCTGTCCGTAGAAAATTCCTCTGGAAGTCGAACTTGAGGCAAGCATCAATGTTCATAGTGAGCAATGCTTTCCCATTATTACTTAGGGCTTTTCTGATGGTGGAACCCTGAACACTGACTTTAGCCACGGCAGGAAAGGCAGGCCTACATACGTCTGAATGTTTTGGGGTTCTTTGTGACTTCATGTTTGGTTTTATGCTGCTCTCTTGGAGTGATTTTGGTAGGATGGCCACACTTGGGAACATTCACTCTTGCTTGTCCCGAATCTTCTTCATTTTAAGAATGTCTCTGACTGTGGATTGGTGAAACCTCAGAGCTTTAGAAATGGTTTGTAACCTTTTCGAGACTGATAGGCATCAATGAATTTTTTGGAGGTCTTCAACAATATCTGTTTTTAAGAGGCATGATGTGTCTCTAGATACTGTGTGGTGAGAACTTCGCTGCAATGATGAGAGCAGATGTCTTGAGTTTTATATAGAACAAAGCTGGCCAAATCAGACCTCATTGGTTCATAAAGTTTTTACACATGTGGCCCAAGTCATCTCTTAAATTGAATTGATTTCAACTTGGAGAAAATTTTTCACCAAAATTTTTCACCAGAAATTTTTCACATGTGTGAAATTTTTCACACAAAGAACATTGGGTGTTGGATGACTTTGTTTATGAACTAAATGAAACAATCACCAAACTTTGGTTTAATCTGTTTGCTCAGACTTCCTTTAAAAATCACAGGGTCCCATACAAAGCTCTGTCAACATTCAGCGTTAAAAATATGCAAAAATTCAGAAAATCTGAAAGGAGGCAATTACTTATTTTAAGAAAATGTATTTGAAAAAAAAAAGCCTTCATTTTAATCACGTTTGCATTGAATGGGGTGCCATGTCAGTGTGCATTGCCTGCAAAAGCACAAGTTAAGGTTAATTCCTTAAAGTAAAAAGTAGGAAAGTAGAAAGAAAGAAGAAGAAATACAATGTTTGGGTTGTGCAGCCTCCACAAACTTGAAGGATGTGTGAACCCTTCCTGAAGAAAAAGACAATGTTTTTTTCTACTTTAGAATTTGGTATGCAATTAACCTCTTCTTGTTCTTCTGTAATTCATGCTTGATCACTAAATTGTACTTCATACTATATATAGCAAACCATATGTGTATTATGTAAGTAAAACTTCAAAGAGACTTTATCTTTGAGATCCTTATTTGCTTTAACTCCTTTAGGATTTCTTTGGGAAGTCAGATCCTTATTTGGAGTTCTACAGACAAACTGAGACAGGATGGCAGCTGGCACACAGAACAGAGGTTTGTTTCTGTTTGTTTCTAATGAGAATAAACTATTGGTGTGGCTCACTGGAGGACATGCTGAAGAGGATAAGCCTGGATAGAATATGATTTGTAATGAGAAGGCCCATAAAAAATCAAACTTGCATAGTCATCTATAGACCTTTGATTGGTGTTTTTCATGGTGAGTGCAAAACCCATTTTGAGATATACAGTATATGCACAAGTTTAGAAGGCACACAGTAATTAATTTTCCAATATCACAATATCAATTAAATACAAAAAACAGAATCATACGGGAAGCTGTTTGGCTAGAAATAAGCTTTAAATATTGTATATACTTTAAGGATATTGGCAAATTTTCTCAATGCACATTCCATGAATAGCAGCATTTTAAATGTAACCTAGCACAAGGCAGAAGGGATAATAGTATTAAGAAAATCACATTGGTGCTGGAGGACCAGTATGGTGACCTGGGACACTGCTATAGGAATTAAGTTTCTTCAGATTAGATGTCGAACTGAGGTCCTGTCTTCTTGGTCATTAAAGATCCCATTGCTCGTGATAACCCTGGTGTCCTTACTAAATTCCAGTTGAGGTTTGCTAAATCTGTTCAAACTACATCTTGCCCTTAGTTTTCCCCAAATGCAAGAAATATTATTAGTAGTGGTAGAGAAACTGCATACATAGAAACACCTGGGCAAACCCTCAGTGAAGCCTGTACAGCTGTGTCTTCTGTAGTTTATAATGTTGCCTGTATGTAACTACACTTCTTAATTAAATTATTATATAATTTATTTGTGGATTTATTGTTCTGTCTGTTACCCTCAAGGTGGTCAAGAACAACCTGAACCCTGCGTGGAAGCCATTTAAAATCCCCCTACAGTCCCTCTGCAACAGTGACATGGAGAAGCCCATTAAGGTAGAACAAGAGGTTTATATGCTGCAATATAGATCCAGGGAGTGTGGTTACATTTTTACTTTGCTGCACAGTTGTGATTTGATTTAGAAGTTTACCCTTCAATACAGACCATGTATAAGTGAGGCTCAAAGATTTTTAGGATTAAATGATTTGAATTCTGTTTGAAAATCTTTTAATCTTTACTACAATACAATTTTTTGATTGGCATGAATTTATCTCTCTCTGGAGTTTTCCCTTCAGAGAACTTCCATTAATATTTAATTAGCCACATGGTGCAATTATAGTAAATGTTCCACCAGGATCTACTTCCAGACATGAAATATAATCACACTTTACAATACTGAAAAAACCAGAGAAAGGGTAAAGGTTATCTTGTACTATCATTGCTTATGTTTTAGGACTTGTATTTTTTAAATTTTGGTCAAATATTCAGACAGATTGTGAACAACCTGTAAGTCTCTTTCAATAGTATTATGTTTGTGACTTTTTATTGGTTTAGCTGTTTACTAAGTAGTGTTACTAACAGTACTCGTGCACATCTGAAAGGATTTCTCACATAAAAGGATTTCTCAGAATTACACAAATTCTGCATTTATATGTAAAATTCTCTGCTGAATTTGGAGGTTGCCTCAATAGTCCTAAAACTCCCCATATATAATAATAATAATAATAATAATAATAATAATAATAATTAATAATAAACAGTATTATTTAAACAGTTCAATTGATCAGGGAATTAGATTATGGATGTGAGAAAATAGCTTGCGATTTTAACAAATGGTCATTTTCAGCTGAAATGACATTCTGATCCTAGGAGGATGAGAGGATGGAAACTATAGGGAAGGCTGAGTGAGTTACCAATTGCGGCTCACCGTGCTGTGGAGTGTCTTGAAGAAGGGTGATGTGGAATTGCAGCATGTACTGAGCACAAAGCCGTGTGTTGTTGTTGGACTGGTCAGGGTGCTGAACAACCATAATTCCACCTTTAATGGTCAGTAACTGGATCAAGTTAAGGGGTCTGTACGTTAGGCAAAACTCTTTTTGTTGTTTTTTAATGCCATTTGTGTGATGGTAGAATTGCTGTTATATGTCAGTGAAAAGTGAAAACCAGCATTAAATAAGTGGCTGATCTTTTAATTAATTCCACTTGGTAGCAATAGCTTCAGAATCAAACCTTTTCTCTTAGGTTGTGTTGTTCAGAATTGGTAGTGTTCCCTCCAGCAAGTGTTGGTGGACACAGATTTTTAATAGAAGAGCACACATATAGTTTCAAAACCATATCCCGATGTCCTGGCTAAGTTCCAGGTTGGATTTCAACAGTTTGACCAAGATGAAGTTCTCCTTAATTCCCATGGATCTGCTGAGGCATGATGACTGCCATGTGTTCCCAGCTTGGTCTGCAGTTTAGTAGTGCAAATTCTGTCTGTCTGAGACCTGGGATCTGTCTGAGATCACGCTGCCCACATTAGGCACGTCTAAAATCACAATATGACTGAACGTGCTGCAAGAGACTAATGTTTGATGCACCTGGACAGGCTAGAAGACAGCACGTTTACTGGCTAAAAACCATCTTTACTGCTTCCATTTCCATTTCAATGAAAATCCTATATGGGAAATGTCACCCATCGTGCCTCTTCATGTGTGATGTGTGTTGTGTGTTATGTACCATCAGGACACTCCAGCAAGTGCCTGTCACTGGATGGCTAATGACTGGTTTTGCTTGAGTGCTTTTCTATTTAAAAAAAAGACAGCAACTGCAAAACTGTGACAGATGTGATGACAGGTTTATCTATTAAATTCTTTGAATTTTAACAAAATTAATCTTGAATATTTTCAAGTTTCTTCTCAACTAACAAGCTTGCCTACTGTAATCAATCAGCTTCTTCTATCTTGGCCACTGTAAGGAGGCAGAGTTAAAGGACCTGCTTTAAAATTCAGGTGCACTCTTTTTGTTATCCAAGTTAGGAATTTTAAGTTTTTACTTTTTGTCAAAGTCCATGATAGATGTTGCTATGTGTGTTAGCTTGTTTTGGTTGGTTTTTGTTGTCATGTGGAAGTTGAGAAGATCTTGATCAGAGACATGTATGTTTCCTTTTCCTGTAGAATGCCATGCCTTGTACAGAAACCTTTTGTGACATGCTTCGTTTTGTTAGTTCAGAAGAGTCACAGGAGGTCAAAATTAACACTATTGTAATGAGGAATGGAAATGTTAAGTGGTGGACTGTCATTGTAGGAGGAATTGAAAGTCTATAGTCCCTTGGCATATATTACACTCATATTTAAGCATTTTACAAATATGGATTGCATTAGTTAATTGAGCCACTGCTCTTAAATTAAATTAGTGTAGATTAGTGCTCGTCCACTGCTACTGTTGCTCAAGTTCATGAATAAGACAGAATAACTGTTCTCAGCACGTGTTCTGAGCTTACTTATTGTTTACTGCTCCTGCAGTGTCAAAACGTTCTAGATCTTACCTGGATGGTTGACTCACCTGACACTGTAAACATGGAGTTTGGGATGAACTTGGACATTGACTGCAATCAGTCGTCCACCTCCACACCACTGATGATGTGCCAGTGGTATAACAGCCATACGGACACTCAGGCATCAGATGACATCTGAGCAGCATCAAAAACATGAGGACCTTAAAGCTGATTGCAGTTTTTAAACTCTAGACCTCTAAAGATGGCATGAACAATTCTGAAGGTTTCTGGATGACAAGTGTAGGGATAGGGAGCTCTTTGTGTTGTAAGCACATTTAAAACATCTCACATGTTCTGGGTTGCAGTTTTATAAGCTGGTCCTGGCAGCATTTCAGCATTGCTCTCCTTGCTGCCTTTGCAGGTCGAGTGCTACGACTACGACAATGATGGGTCCCATGATCTCATAGGGACCTTTGAGACGAACCTGACCAGGATGCAGCAGGGATCCCACACCTCCCCGGTAAGTCGCTGAAAAGCCCAAATTCAAACTGAACAGAAGTGGAAGTATCGGCTTCCATAACATGGCTAGGTAGCTTGTTCCAGTCTCCCACAGTCCTTTGTTTTCTCAGTATTAAATGCACTGAACCATGATATCCACTTGTGTTTGATAGGTGCCCTTTGGTCTTTTAAAATAATTGTCCCCCTTCAGTTGTAATAATGGTGGAAAATTGTAAACATCAGCAAAAAGTGAGTCTAATTTTGATAGCCTAAACATGAATGATACAATGTAATTTTGGAGTCCTGGACAGAAGACCAACGGATGATTTTAAGATGGAATTTTTTGTAAGATATTGGTCAATTGACTTATTTTTGTATCTAATTTATTATGATATTATATTATAAAGTCTCTGATTAAGTGATAAATTGGGGATTTTCATTCCTCATAAAATTTATTTTGTTTGAGCAAGTTTGTTCCAGTCAGGGAGCAGCTCATCCTACAATTGAACTATTAAGAACAAGTTAGGTTAGGTGTCCTATCGCTCAAGGGCTTTGTTTGAACTAAAATAGGAATGAGAAAGGGCGGGGTTCAAAATGGCTATAACTGGGGAGTGTGAGAGAGAGTGTTATTGTGGAAAACAAACTGTAAAGTTAAATCTAACCTGTATTAGTTCTTATGAATCAAATTCAAAAATGATGTTTAATATTAATGCAGAGTTTCTAGGTTTTAGTTGGTCTGGACTGATCTGCTGATATTTTCTTTGGATCTAGATTATACTTTCGCGTTTCACAAACAGAGTAACCCTTTGTCATATTGTTTTCTGCAGGCTGAATTTGACTGTGTAAACATTAAAAAGAAGCAGAAGAAAAAGAACTATAAAAATTCTGGGGTTGTGAGTGTTAAGTTGTGTCAGGTATGTACATACTTGTCAGGCTGCGTGTAATGTTCATCTATGGGATCTTCCTTTATAAATGCTTAAACCCAGAATTACTCATTTTAAAATGCAAAATTACTAATCATTCCACTACTGCTAGTAATAATATACTATAATAGTAATTGTATAGAGATGTCCACTTGTGTTTCCAGACTAATGATTACTGTAAATTAACTTGCAGAGGCAATTATGGAGGCCATTTGGTGCATCTTATTTGGTAGTTTAGTAGCTAAGTGAATATAATTTCTAACTAAATACCTGAGTTTGTGCCTCTACCACCTGACAAACAAGCCTGATCCAGATAACCACGACCCTGAGTGTAAAAAGCATTTCCTGTTCTCCATCCTAAATTAATTTATTTTAGTTTCAAAATGTAACCCCATCTCCTTGTTTCACTGTTGACTGTGAAATAGTCCGCTATGTTGAACACATCATTTTTATTTTTCTATTACTTGTTTTGTTCTGATGAGGGCATAGAAGAATTTAATAATTCACTTAATAAGAATGATGTCTCAGATGTTCGCAAATGCTGTATGTGAACTTTTAATATTGCAGGTGGTGAAGGAGTACAGCTTTTTGGACTACATCATGGGGGGTTGCCAATTAAACTTCACTGTGAGTATAGCACTGTAATTATCCATTGATACACAAAATCAGCCTTGTTACTTGTCTGCTTTGAATTGATCAGCCTTTTTAGTGGCTCTCAGTGACAACTGGGTGGATGGGAGGAATTTCTACAATTTTTCTCTTTCCCTAGCCATTGTTATTGCATTGTTAAACATTTGTGTCCAAGACATCTCCCTTTGGCTTACCTTAGTTGGAAAACTAGGATAGTTGACTTCCAGTAGGAAATCTGGTTTTATGTGTTAAATGCTAGGTAATACGGTTCCCTTTAAATAGTTAAAAAAGTAATTACAATGTCTTTGTTTTAATTAGGTGGAATACATTTTAGATGTGATTAGCAAAGTATTAAAATCTTCAATTTTATGTTTTCAAACAGCATACAAGTACCTAGATATTTGATATACAAATATTGTGTTGGCAGATCTCCTGTTAGTTGTGTCAAACATAATCAGACATGCAAAGACAGGTTGGAAGCTAAGTTAAGTTATTGGAAGAATGAACTGTGAGACAAACGGATTGATCTGTGTGAACTGAGTGATCATTACCACCTGTCACCTGTTTACCAGTTGCACTGGCTGAAGTCTGTTTTAAGTACAGTACAGCCCTCTTGTTATTCATAATGCAAGAACAGGTGGTGCAGGTTCCCATAATCCTACTGCCTTCTTCTCCAGTGGCAGTTACGAATGGCATTTACTTGATTCAGTGCAGATGGAGTGGCGTGAAACCTAAGTCAAATTCTATTACGGCCCTGATGAGGGTTTGGGAACCTAGTGTTAGTAGCAGAAAAAGATGTGGTAAGCACAAATGTTTTTCTTTCTATTGCTTTCAGTAATGATGTCTTGTAACCGTGTTATCTGCCTGAACAGAGACGCTAATAGATTTTCACTCTGTCCTCGTTGATCAGGTGGGAATAGATTTCACAGGGTCCAATGGAGATCCCCGGTCACCGGACTCCCTGCACTACATCAGCCCAAATGGTCACAACGAGTATCTCATGGCCATATGGTCTGTCGGCATGGTCATTCAAGACTATGACAGGTACTTCCGCCATTCTCCACACATCTGTGAAATGGTTACATGGAAATTGTTATTGTTCTGATTCTTCTTTTTCCATATAAATAAACTCCATACTGTATATAGAGTGTACAAGTGGAAATAAAAATATGAAGTCTTCTCATGTACAGCTCTATACACTAGGAATAGGCAATAACAAAATTTGCATTTAGCAAATATTGTCCTTAAATCACTATGATCACAATTGTCTGATGAACAAAATAAGCCCTTTGGAGCATATCAGAAAGATGTTAAATCAGCTGCAGAAAATTTCTCTAAAAGTCACTGAGTTTGTGGAGGCAACATTATGTACTAGTATTATACAGTGTGCTGGGGGGGATCATCTTTCTAACTCTCATCAACCCACTGTAGCATCTTTTCATAGTAGTACCTTTGCTCTCAGCCATCCAGAGCCAAAATATTCACCATTGAAGAAACTTTGGCAATGAAAGTATTCATGAACATCAGAAACTGTCACGATTGTAGTCCCTCCTCCTTAAGGGTGCTCTGGCTCTTTCACTTTGGATTTAATTCTTTGCACCTGACCCTTGTTCCCAGTCCACCTTAAAAGCCAGGCGCTGACGTTCATCCTGACTCTGCATCCCGCACCGTGCGAGTCCGGGACCTGGAAGCGCCTGGTCCCGTTAAGGTTTTAATCCCTGTTCCTTTTCCTTGTCTGCCGGTTTCGATTCGGTTCATGGTTTTAATTCCTTGTTTGGATGGATCACCTGGCTATGGATTTATTCTTGCGTTTTTGGATTCCCTCTATGGATTACTTTTGGATTGTTTGCCTCGGCCACACCTCCCCAGCGCACTTTGGACACGCCCCCCTGTTTTCATCCCCGTATCCCTGCATGACTTTTTCCTAGTGTTCCTGTTTGTTTTTATAATGGCAACTCTGTATCTGAATTCTGAGGGCAGTAATTGAAATTCATTAAACAAAGGGATTACAGGGTCCTGTAGGATTAAATAGATAATAATCTATATAATCTTTATGTAAGGTGAGGTTGGATGGAAAGATCAGCACCAATGACTTTTTGATTAGTTTAACAAAATACTCTACAGTTTGTTCTTACTCTTCAGATCCAGATTCCTTAACCAGCAGATCAGGGCAAAAGTTGAAATTCAATTCGAGGCAACAAATTGTCAATCTAAAAAAAAAATGTTTTGCATTTTTAAAAGAAAAATAGATACTGCCTCTCTTTTTTGAAAATAGAAACTACATTTGCTTCAATATTTTGTTTTAACTTGCAGTCCAGAACAGTCCCTAAATACTTAGGTCAGTATCAGTATAACGACGTGAGTGATCTCCACTGATGAAGGTTTGAGTGGGAGACTGAGGGTTCTTCCTGAAATCAATTGCCTTTTCTTTGGTTTCAGAGGCATTCAGCTTCAAATAGGTTTGTTCACCCCAAGTGGCAAACTCATCTATAACTTGCCCATCCATCTCTTGCAGGCTATCAGAAACCTTTTTCCATCACTGCTGCCTCTATTACAACTAGTCTGCCATAGTTGAAGAAAAATACAAAAAACAAACTTTTTAGCTTAACATCAAATTCGATCAATTCTTCTCTGTAAAATGGTCTTCAGCATTTCTCCAACGCGTGTGTCCCACTGGGTGGTTATACTCACAGACATCAGGTTTCATCCCAGTGCGAATGAAGGGGCTAATCCACTCCAAACTAATTGTACAATTTTCAAATGTTATGTTTCATGTTTACAGTGTACTTAAAGTGTTGTCCCATTAAGAGCAATCAGTATTTCATGGGATCACAAGCTCAAAGTTTGTTTGAATTTATTATTTAATTGTTGTGCTTGCAGTTGGTAGATGACAATGTGCCAGAGGTGGAGACCATTTCAGCCTTTTTTACAATGTGTTTTAAAATAAAATAAGCTAAATGTTTAATGCTGATTTTTATGATTTGTTTTGATGCAGCTAAATGCAGTTCATAAATTACTGCCGTTATTGGATTCAGGCCTGTCTTCCCAAAACCCTGACAGAATTTATGCTTGCTGATATTGTTTCAAAACAAAATAATTTCCACAAAACTATTAATTACCATCACTGCTATATAATTTTTTGTTGTTGGTTTTTAATAGTGACAAAATGTTTCCGGCTTTTGGGTTTGGTGCTCAGATTCCACCTTCTTGGCAGGTAAATATGAATGATTTTATAAAGAACAAGACTTCATTACAGTTTTCATATCTAAAACAAAGATGTGCAATATGACTTGAACTCTTTTAGAAATACATTTCATCGTGCTTGTTTGCTCATGGTACTGACAATTTTTTGCAGGTATCTCATGAATTTCCTTTGAACTTCAATTCATCAGCTCCATTCTGTGCAGGTAAAATTGTTTTGAACAGAACAGTCAAAATCATTGATGCCTTTATTGTGCTTTAAACATTTAATGTCTACCAGAACATTATTACCGTTATGCAAACATTACTAGCCCACACCATTCTCAACAAGTGAGAGAAATCCCCTGGTTTTGAGAACAGAGATCCATGGTGCCAGGTTAAACAAAGAGGTATGATTTTGCAGCGGTTAGGGTTTAGGAGTTAGGATTGTGTCAGTGGTGAGCTGATTGAACCACTCTAATCATCCATTATTATTTTTTTCCTTCAGGCATAGAGGGAATTGTGGAAGCCTACAGAGTGTGTCTGCCTCAGGTGAAACTGTACGGACCCACAAACTTCTCCCCCATCATAAACCATGTAGCCAGATTTGGGGCCCAAGCAGCACAGCAGAAAACTGCATCTGTAAGTAACATTTCTTGTATCATATTGCATCTAACTTTGTAAAATACAAATACAACTGTGAACTGTGCCAAGAATGACATGTAGTTTACTGTTACCTCTGGCTAGTGCCAGGGAAATACATGTGTTCATTGAAGAGGCTGTTTGCACTGAAGAAATTGCAGGCCTTGGACATGTCTTGAGCATTTACATGGCAGAAAATTGTAAATTCTTATGATTGTTACAAATTACATAGAGATTGATTAATTATCAGAGATAATTTGTGAAGATGATAAAAATACTTACATCTGCAAAAGTGAAATCCTCTTACTGCCATTGTTGAATAAGTCCTTGTGACATTTAGTTGTCTACGCAAGTGTTAATAGGGAAATAGCCCGAACCTGTGCCAGACAATGATCAACGGGGGGGCATCCGGTTTTCACCGGGGGGGCACTATTATTAATATGTTTATGGTCTATAAATGGACGAAATATAGTATCTACTCAATATTTCTTAATAGCACAATATTATGGGCTACTTTATGTGAAGTCTTCCTGCGTACTTCTGACATACGAATTTCGGCCACTTCAAAAATTCTTTGGTCTTCTCAAAAAACAGAAACCACATTCCTACGTTATTCCCAGAACAACAGACTCAACCACTGCCCACTCGAAAACACAAGCACCATTACAAAGAATAACGTTAAATAACGCAAATCGCACAAAATCTAAAATGCAAATAGGTGTTTTACTCTTGAGGCAGGAGTAACAATCAGGACCATGGGTGGTAGCCTAGCTGATAAAACTAGTCAAGACAACGTAATCATTTTGACCAGTGATGAATACAAATAACAGTAGAGGCTCATGCTCAGTGAGAACTGAACTGAACTTTTAAGAACGGTGGTCGGAAAACAGTTTGAAGTGTGGAGAAAGAGTTTTCACATGTTGCTGTCGAAGCACAGCATGCTAAAGCCAGTTTAAATGTTATCAATAGCCTACTGCAGGCATTGCTTAAATGGTTTTGTGGTCTTCTGACAGCAGTCTCTGAACAGTCCATTCCTGGGGCCTGTTCCTCTTCCATTAGGGACATGAGGAATCGGCACGCAACTTGGTGCACTTCATAAATCAAATCCAATCAAAGACGAACCGGTGCAACACCGTGCAATCCGGGTGAATTAACGATCGCACCCATATGCGCTGTAAAGCACACAGCACATAACCTACGAAAGCAAATAGTCTTTGAAAGCAAAATGAAACATGAAGAAAAAAACAACTTGAAAACCGTTTATGGAAAAACATCCTGCTACAGACTAATGACAAAAAGGCGTGCAGATGCTAACCAACACACCATCCCAACAAAATTATAGCAAGCACAATTATGATGGAAAGAGGTTGAACAGAGATGCCACGACTGGCACAAAGGTCCGTCTGTAGCCCCATAGTGACGGCACTGGACATAGCAACACATAACCTCATTAATTTACACTTGCATCAACTTGCATCAATTTCTGAAATTCTTTTAGCCTATATTTATAACTTGGGATAATATTTAGCAATCTGAAACATCTACAGATATGTTTCAGACATACATTACTTCCAAACCCCAAATACACTGTTCATGAAAAGCTGCTCATACAGGTTCCTGTTGCTGATATATGGTGTTGCTGCCTGAGAATGGAACCAGAAAACCTGTCCCTTTTGTCTTTCATTATCCCTTTTTATTTTTTTCCACGATGTAAAGCAATACTTTGTTCTCCTCATCATCACGGATGGAGTGATAACAGACTTGGACCAGACCAGGACTGCCATTGTGAATGCCTCCAAGCTACCCATGTCCATCATTATCGTTGGCGTGGGGGGAGCAGACTTCAGTGCTATGGAGTTTCTTGATGGAGACAATGGGAACCTCAAGGCCCCCACGGGCGAGCCTGCCCTCCGCGACATCGTCCAGTTTGTGCCTTTTCGCAAATTCCAAAACGTGAGTAACTGCACCCCCAGCAAAATTGGTCCAAAAACCCAAGTCTGTCCACATTAACTTTGCTGAAAATATCATTGATAATGAACCACACCGTGTTTTTTGTGGGCAATTTGAGATTGTCTAAATTTAAAGAACAGTTGATGTAAATTTCCCAATTAAAATAAAAGCATTTTAAGTATTGTAAAGTTTTCTAATGTATAAATTATTGTACAAGACATATTGTCTCGTAGCTTGATCTTGTAAGATCACACAAAATTGGCAAGCTTAATCAGGACTGGGTTGGAAATCTCCAAGGACAGCCAGGTTGTTGCAGCACGTGGTTTTGATGGACCAGTAGTTGGGACTGTTCCCACTAGACCAGTTTTTCCAGACCATTACTCCCAGTATGGTTTCCAGGGATACCGAGCTGTAGGAGGTGATCCTGACAACATGGTCGTTTAAGGTTCCGTGGCTCTGATATAAGAGCAGGGGTGTGACCTCTGTGTCTTGGCTAAGTTCAACTCTGGGCTTCAACAGTCTAGATTAAAGTTCCCCCTTAATTCAGCTGACGATGCAGTTTCTCGCTTCTCCACCTGGTCTGCTGTTTATTGGGACAGCTGGCACTTGATGGCTGTGGGCCATCACCAAGGTGGCTACAGCATTGGATCTGTCCTATGGAAAATGCTCTGGGATCCCTGAGCCCTGAGATGAAAAGCACTATATAAAAGCAGTGAATTATGATTAAAATCAAGGTGCATGTTATGAGGCTGTATGTGCTCTGTAAAAGATGCATTGAACTTGATTTGTCTGCTGTAGGATTTTTGAATAAAACATTCAGTTATCCCATTTCATTACAAAACCTAGAACTGCCTCTTGGGAAAGGCCCAATACCTACATTTTATAACTATTAAATTTTTTTTTTCCATGAAGCATTTTATCATGGAGGTGTTAACCACCATATGCTGAATCAGTCAGCATTTCAAAATGAAGCACTTTTACCGCAATGTATTAATACAATGTTTCAATTGTCTCAATGGAATAAAAATAATGAATATACATATTTCATACATATACTGTACATATTTCCAGTACACATTGGAAAAATATATACTGTATGTGGTTTCCTTCCTTATCCTATGTCCTTTCAGTCAGTAGCAATAACATTTTCATGGCTCATTATTCAAAAGGGATTTGGTTTAAACTGAGTTCCTTCAAAGTGCTACAAACATATTAGACATCAGAAAAACATCAGACAGCCTTGTTGAAGGCCTCCTGTTAGTTCATTATAAGTCATCAAATGACTTGTCAATGCATCTAGAACTGCACTTTTTCATAATGATCTTTCAGAAGTTCTTGTCACTGTTCTGTCATCTTTCGATATTTCTGAATCTCATTTCAGGCACCAAAAGAAGCTCTTGCCCAATGTGTATTAGCAGAATTGCCTCAGCAAGTTACCTCCTACTTCCGAATGCAAAACCTGCAGCCTCCCCATGACAGTAGTCCTGCATAATGTACGGGGAAAGCATTGCTTTTTACTTACAGATAATACCTTTCTGATGACAAATGACAAAAATAGATCTGAATAATTAACTGTCAGTAATATATAAAAGCCTTCTGTCTTCTGCAAAAAAATTATAAGAGTAGCCTTTTGTACAGCTTAATACCTTATTTTATCGTAAAAGGAAAGAGGTCAGAAGCTTTTTGAGGAATTAGACCAGCATTGTTTAAGAACCCAGTAATGTCAGGGAAGGCTTGTACTAACAGGTGATCCTTGTAGTAATGCCTGTTTGTTTCCTGACAAATCTCACTCATTCAGCTAGAACAGGCAGGATACAAGACACTCCAGTACAGGGACTTGGCAGAGTAACAGAAATAAACCTCTTTTGTAATGGTTTGGTTCATTCAGCAATAGAGATGATGATCAGGGGGGCATTCTGTCAGTCATTCTGACTGTTCCAGTCTTAACTTGGCACCATATCTGATGAGAAGTGATTAATCTTCCTCTGAAGTCCTCACTTTCCCAAGAAGCAAACAGAGCACTATGAAACCTGACTCATTGTGCTTCGATTTCTGTTGCTTTGTGAAGTCTTTTCAGTGAAACAGACATGCAGAACAAATTTTCAGGGAATTTATGCTGTTATTTTTCTGTCTGTTCCATGACTATGCAATTTCTGTCTAAAGAGGACTGCGAGACAGCAATAAGAGAACAGCACTTCAGATCTGCTATTTAGCTAGTCTCTTTCTTGCAATTCATTTTGGAATTGATTTTCTTCCCTAGGCTCCGAAAGAAGCTCTGGCACAGTGTGTGTTGGCGGAGATCCCTGGTCAAGTTATGTCGTACTTCAACATGATGAAATTGAGCCCACCCAATGATCCGACTCCAGCCGCCAGCATCTAACGGGAATTCTCTCTTGTTTTCTCCTGTATACAGTACATGTTCAGATAAGAGGAAAACCCATCAAAGAAAAAGCTTAAGTCCTGACTGCTTAAAAAGTAAGATTATTATAAATTTAAGTAAAGACAAGAGCAGTAGAAAACCTCTACTGTACATACCGATGTTATTACATATCCTCTTTAGAGTGAGTATTCTTGGGCATTGTGTCCTGACTCTGACCCATCTTCAAATTTCATTGTGGGTTTTTTAAGTTAAAAGAAGATACCCCTGGCAAGCACAGGCCACAGTTAAGGGCCCAGTTTATTTCAAATTTGCAAGTATGTCAAAGTTTGTATCCTAGGTTAGATGTCTTTTTAAGGTAACAAGGCATATTACAGTATGTAAACTGAGAGGTGAGATGCCAAAAATGTCGATTCCTTTAGTGAAATAATTGTATGACTTTGCGAAGGTTTATATAGTGAGCTTGGAAAGAGCAACAGTTATCATCCTGTAATGGTGGTTTATTCTCCTCCAATAATAGTTCAATCTCTTTTGCAGTATAGTAAGATCCAGTATTTGCACTGCGTATCCAATGCTTATATATTTTGAGCTGTTTACACATTCTACACATGCTTTAAACCAGAAAAGTACCATTGTCAGATGCAGAGAAACATGTTTTTTGTATGACATTTTTAATGAATGTTTTATTGCTTTGTGGGGATGGGGAGGTCATTTATAGCATAATGTAACAGTTATACAGTACCTAACAGTTATACAAGGGAGCATGCATTAATGTTTAATGCATTGGACATGTCATTCATTAAATTAAGCAACAAGAAATGTGCCCTCTGACAAGAAAAGTTCTCTGACACTGGTTTAACAACTGGCACAATTAAAGACATGGAGAATCTATTAAAACATTTGAACTGCTTTATTTGATGGCTGTATGATCAGTGGCAGTGCCTCCTGGGTCCATCTATTGGGCAGCAGTGTGGGGTTTGATACCATAATAATAGTTACACTTGGTGACATTGTAAGATGTTTTACATTCTTTTCATTGTTTTGTCAGCTTGTTTGCTTTTGCCTTTCTTGTTTTCTGAGGCAAGAGTAGGGGAACTTCCAGCAATGCCGTCCTTTGGCATTGGCACTGCGTGAACATATTTTGAACATTTCCAAAGCGTAAATAATATTAGCACTATGTGAATCTTTACTTGCATCAGCTCTCAGCACCAATAGCACTATATATTCTTTTCAGCAAGGTGTTTGTTTGTCATTAGGGGGACCTCAGTGCTGGCTCCTCACTTTAAGAGGAAAATTTACACGAACTTCGTCTGTTTTTTTTAATTGGCCTGTGAATACCACAATGTTTTGGAAATTATACTATTAAGAAGATTCATTTTTAAAATGCATCTGTTAAAAAATTGATATTGTAAATTTGTAATACCCCAGACAAGGACTTGAAGAAGAAGCCTGATGAAAGCGCCCAGTATTCACAGATCTGGAATATACAGCACATCATCTTTCTCCTTAATACGTCAAGGCTAATTCCAAGTACCTTGTCATTCTTTGAGATGAAGAGTGCCATAAGGATGCTATGACAAACATTTAATAGCAATGAAAATGACTTTTTAAAAACTCAAAATGTGCCATAATACACTGGGATTGGAGGAAAACATTGTCAAATTGAGATAAAACCTTATGTATATGGGGCAGCTCCTGTATGCTTGTGCCATAACACTGGTTGATTTTCACAAAGTTTGCTCCCTTCCAAAACCTGTTCCTAGTTTTCTGAAAATAATCATAAATGTTTAAAGGCACAAATCAAAGAAGTCACTTAAAATAGTTTTGGAAGGTAAGGTGGCTAAGGTGTATGTTCTGTGTATCAAGGAATGGAATGATATATAAATCTTTAATCACTTCATGAGTAACTAATGGGAGCAAATTTACAATGAAGATTGTTACGTATGGGAATCGTAGCCTATTTTGTCAGCACCGCAGTCAGTATTTGAGGATTTTAGGAGCTTACGGTACATTGCTTATCTGTTTACACAAATTATGGAAATCATAGAAGCCATAAACCATAAATGTCTAGTCAGCTTTTAATGTTTTTAAGTGTTACTGTCCAACCTCTATTAGCCAGAAAACAATAAATTCTAAATAAAAATGTGTTTATTAGTCCAACTCTTTCCACTTGGGTCGTTCCTTGCTTGATTCCATAACCTTTTTTTTGGATGCATGTGAGAGGTTTTTAAACATACAAAAAACAAAGGAAGTGATAGTTGACAATGTGCTGCTCAAACTACATTTTCCTACTGTGGTGAATGCCGACCCTCAGGCCACATCATGTAACCCAGAGTGAGCGTATCCCTGGATCAGAAGTGCACTTCTGTCGCTGCACTTGGCTTGTGGAACACCTCCGGGTTTCTGTGTTGTACCAGTGGTCTTCTTTCAGAGGAGCCTGCTCAGTCCCACAAAACAGTCCAATACAGAGGTATTGCATGAAATATCTTTTGTTCCAGCTCTTCAAGCTATAAGCTTCCCGGAGGAGCCAGTACAGTTGAATTCCTGACAACCTCCATTCCTTTTCTTTAAAGTCATTCACATTCACAGAGATAGCCTGACTCACTGAGCCAGGCTCGCTCCACAGTATATGGCCAGGCTTCCCCTTTAATGGGAACGTATGTCCCTTGACTCCTCAGAGACATAATGGCGTGCCTTACATGGCTAAATTGCATACTAAATTCATTCTAGAGCTATCATTCATTAGCTAAATCCACTCCATAACAAAATACTTGTGTACATTTTTGCCATTAATTCTCTTAAAATCCTTCAAACTTTAATTGGGATTAGGGCTGCCGGATGGCTACAGATGTTAAAGCAAAGAAGTAAAATACTCCTGTACTAGCTATACTCTACAGTTCATATTTCACCTGACTCTCTCACAACAGTATCAACAGAATACTAATCAGCCAATATGGCAATAAATAGGTGTGTCCCGTTTAACTCCAGCAGGGGAGTCTTTGGCCAGGCCTCAGCTGGCACCATCACACCTATGTTTTGGAACAATGGTTATACTGTAGGGTTGCATGGTTGCGCAAAGTGTGTATTTCATATTTCAATACTAATTACCAATATGTTTCAGCTGTAGAAGACATAAACACTTTAGTATGTGAGTTTCTAAAACATGAGAGCTCTAAAGAAACTGAAATAAAATATTTGTTGCTTGAACTGCAGGTGTATCAGCCACAGAATCAGAAAAAATATTTAGTGTGTCAGGGGGGATAGTATTAAATATACGGGGAAGAATTTCAGTGGTCTCAAGTCAAAGCTTGCAAACGGGAATAGGTAGACACTCAACAGGATACTTGCTAAAAACCATAATCAACAGCTTCAAAAATTCCCACAGAACTTAGTCTATACCTCAGTGACCTAGTCTCAGAAAAAATAATGCCATGAGTTTCACGTAGCTGATATTTATGTTAGGGCTGCTATTTGGAAACCACTTGTAATCCAGGCGAATGCATATCAATGCAAAATCTGGTGTAATGAGCACAAATCCTGGACTTGTGAGTGGAAGAATGTAAAATGGTCTGATGAAAATGGTCTTTTACTCTTTTTCCTTCATACAGTTGGGTTAATGATTGGAGAGAGCCAGTGGAAGCCTTCAAACCACACCTTTTCCCAGCTGTTAAACATGGTAGTGGATCTATTATCATATGGGCACCCATCTGGTTGCATCATTGATTATTATTAATTAATCATCACTATTACTCTGCATGGGATAATTATAGCTTATGGCTATGAATATGAAGCCAATTTAGGCAACCAGGTGTACCAATGGTGCAAACATTGTTTCTTTAAAATGTTCCCATATTCCAAGATAATCACCCCCCCAAACATACTGTTTAACAGAATCAAGAGTGGTTTCATGAACACCAGGGTGAATTAAAACACCTTCCAAGGCCTCCCAAATTACCAGATCTAAACGTCATTACCTTTATGGGAAGTTCTGGGATGTAGAATGAAGAGTAGATTTCCACCTCCTTCATCTCTCAAGCACTGGATGCTTTTTTCTTTTAAGAATGGCTCAGTATCCCACTAGAAACAGTTCAAAACTTGTGTACCAGTACTCCAAAAGGACTGAAGGTGTTCTGAAGCCAAAGAGCAAACTCCTTATATTATTATATATATATTGCCTGGTATTTCCATTATTTTGTCCACCTCTGCAGTTCATCAGTAATGTGTACAGAGTCCCCTGTGCTTTGCAGACTGGTATTGAACTGAAGTGGCTGCGAAGCTTTAAAACTAAACTTGCCCTCGGGACCAGTACATCAGGTGACTAGCTGGAATCCAGATCCTGAGGATACTGCAGCAGTGGAAGAACATTAAATCCACCATAAATCCCCAGAATGGTGGAGACATTGCAGACAAACGTTTTCAGCAGAGGCCAGCAATGCTAAGTTGTAACTGGATAAGCAACCCCAAGACACAAAGCATTGCTTCGAAATAGGTTTCTGTTTTAATTGGAAACTAATTTCTATATGCTATCTTAATCATTTGGAAGAATTTGCTTGTTCACATCTATGAAACTAAAAAAATCCTAACACATGAACTCAAATATGGACATACATTTTGTTATCAAGAGATAACATAATAATGTAAGAGACAAGAGAGTGAAAATTAATAACAGTAATACTCCACCTCCCAAAAAGAGAGTAAGGCTATACTATCCTGATCTTGGAGATCAGACAGCAGCACCTGAAAATCTTGGAATTTGGATGAACATGTTTTCTGCTTTCTAAAACCTGTGCTGGAAAGAGACCCTGCAGCCAGCAGGCCTTGGTGCAGACAGAGATGAGGTAGCGCAGCTAGTAGGAATGTTCAGAACAAGTCAATGCAACAATCTGTGTTTTGGGAAAGGATAAGGACATTCATCGCCCCTGTGATTCAGTTCACTTCTCTTCCATATGATTCCCCAAGTGATCTCTTAGAACCTGTGTCTTACTGATAGTACAGATTCAGCTTTCTGACACTCAGACCTCCCGCCTTGTTGACGGACATTAATGTTTCTCATTTTCAATTTCTTTCTCTTTAAATAATGGAGACTGAACTAAAACATATTATTTATTAATATTATTTATTTTAAAAAATGACTTCATACAGTACAGTCATGTTATATGTGTTTGTTGCCCTATTCCTGTTTAATTTCACTCAAGTGAAAGTTTAATACACAGTTTGGGCATTGAATATTTTTCATTTCAATGTCTGTGTTTAAAGCCTGTCATGTCTGAAAGTTTTTCAGAAATATGGGGCATTTAATCATGATCCTATTTCAACTCATCCAAGCCAGAAAAGCTAATATCCAATAACAGTGTACTCTATGGCACTAAACACAGTGGCCTGAGCTTATTTTGCTTTGAAATTCCCTTTACTTCCAAAAGTTGGAAGATGCTGTAAAGGAGAAAAGGCTGGAAAATATCTGCAGACTGATGACTTTTTACTATGGTACAAGCCTAAAGAAAAAACAAAACAATAAAAAGCTGCAAAGACAGGTTGACCGGAGAACCTGTAGACACATCACAGGAAGACGAAGTGTTTGGGCCTTTCAGGCTTCAGTCTAGAAAAAAAATAAAGATGTTTTCCTAGGATGCTAACATTTTTTCTCCTCATGAGTTTTACAAGTCTTGACTGCTGATTCAAAATATAACAGTTGCCAATAAAACCATATTGACATTTGTCACAATCACCTTCATTGTCCAAGTGTGGAAGGACAGTAGAACTGATTTTCTTAACACAAGTTCCCCTTCATTCATGCAGTTATGCATTTCAGGCCAAACATGTCTACATGAATGTCTACATGTAGAAGGTTAACAGGATGGTTACAGATGTCAATGTGAGAACAAGGACATACCAATGGGAGGAAAAGCTTCATAAAGACAAATTAAGTTGTAGTGCCAAAGAATCAGTCTCCTTTTGTTGTTCCCTTACCTTCAGCTAGCTGAAGAGGCCTCCTTTTCCTTTGATTAATAGTAAAGCGCGGAACAATTTTGGGGTCTCAGCCCTTTTGTCGAACAAGGCCAGTCCTTTCTTTTTCTCCTCTGGCGGACCCCCCTTTTTCCCCTTGTCCTTCATCAGTTTTCTAGAAAAAAAAAAATCTTGTTCTCACAGCATTTAGTATTGAGACAAACCTGATGCTGGAGGAAAAGAGGGATTAATTTTGCAGAATTACCTGCCCTTCTTTGACAGAAGCCTCTGAGAATCAGGATAGTGCACCAGGATGTCGTTGAGCTCCTTCTTATCCAGGATGAAGAGGTTGGCGAAGCCATGGGCAACAACATTGGCTGTTCTTCTGTTTCCCCCACTGGCTGCCAGCAGGCTGCAAAAGGAAGCCTAGAGTGTCATTCCTGCTGTCTCTTCAAAATATGTGTGTAAGTGGGAGGAAGTGTGGCACACTGGTGAAGTGGTTAGCACTAGGGCCCTGGGTTCAATCTGGGACCTGGGGTGCTATCTGCATACAGTTTGTATGTTTTCCTCCTGTGTGCATGAGTTTCCTCCTACAGTCCAAAAACATACTTTAGGTACTTTAGGTTAATTGGCTTCTGGGTAAAGCGGTCCTGGTGAGAGTGTTTGTGTCTGTCTACTTTGCAGATAGATTGGCTTCCAGGGAGTACCATGACATACTGCATACCTGTTGCTTGCCTGGATAGCTCCAATGAATTGGAAGAAGCAATTGAAAAACGGATAGCTGGATATGTATATAAGTGTGTGTAAGTGTCTGTATACGCACATGCAAAGGACAAGTATTGCCATACATGGTTAAAACTACATTTTATGTTGTTTTGTAAGAAACTTTAAGTATGTATTTAGAATTTCTGAGATGTACACATAATCTGATATAAGACATATTTTAACACATACTGTAAGTGGTAAAGTTAACAACTTATACAACGTTAAAACTTTCTTTGGTAAAGCTTTATAATATATAGACTATATGGAAAGATCACTATTCATATTCTCAGCATAAAATGAAGGCTATCACTTAAAAATGCAACAAGTTCACAGTTATTTATGGAAAATTTCAACATGCTTTTTGTAGCAGGTGTAGTGACATTTTATTGAACGGACATAAATTTTATTAACTATCCTGAGAAACGTCATGTTGTACTGTATACTGTGTGAATATAAACCCTGGTGGAAAACTCATCACCTTGATGGAAAATAATAGTTCTTCTTTCTCTAAAGCCTAGTCTGCAGTGATGATAATGGATGGACAGTCTGTAGTAACATAAAGGTCAACAGTACAGACAAAGCTGGATCAATGGCTGACCAATGAGTACATTTCACATGATTGAATGTTGCTGTGTGCTGGTGTGGACTGTGTCTGAGGCTTGAGAGGAGAATGCCATTGCAAATGGGTGAGATGGTGCTGTTGAATTAAGGAAGGTTAAATGGCTTAATGAGTCTGTAACTTCACTATAACTGGCACATAGTTTTGTTTCTGTGGCTTTACAAAATCTGAGAGTGCTGTATTCATATCCATTGTAGTATAACATCCCAGCAATGATGGTACTCATTCATACAGCTGGATGGACTTGAACGTGTGACCCTGGTAACACTTCCAGAGCCCAGACCACTATTCCATGCCTTGATACAAAAGAATATTTTTGAGCTTATACAAAGAGTTACCATCGGTCAAAAAAAATTGACAGAGACAACTTTCCATTTCCCAAGTTAAACCAGGGGATGTTTATAAGAACAAGTGAACTCTAGTGACATTTATATTAGAGGGTAGCACGATGGCTCAGTGGTTAGCATTGCTGCATCACAGTGCTGGGGCCTTGGGTTCAATTACTAGGATGCTATCTGTGTGAAGTTTATATTTCTCCCCATATTCGTGTTGGTTTCCTCTGGGTGCTCCAGTTTCGCCCACAGTCCAAAGACATACTGGAAGGTTAATTGAGTTCTGTGAAAATTGGCCCAGGTGTGTGTGCATGTCTGTCTGCTTGCGATGAACTAGTGCCCCATCAGGGGTGTATCCTGCCTTGCGCCTATGGCTTGCCAGCTGAGCTCCTGCTCCCCTGTGACCCTGAATTGGAAGACACAGTTGAAGAGTGGATGAATGGATGCTTGTAAGAACATTCTTACCAAGCTATTCTGGACAACTGGTATACAACACCAATCCTGAAGGGCTGCTGTGTGTACAGAGAAGGCTTCATACCTACTGTTATTACTTGAACTCCTGACCGCAAGAGACAGACTCGAGTGTGCCATGTAAACATGTCGAAGGTGTCAGATTCACAAAGTGAAGATATCATTAATTTAATTAGTCAGTTTCCAACATTATTTGGTGATATTCCCACTCAGACTAATGTGTTAAACCACGATATTGACGTTAATGGTGCTAAACCTATAAAACAAAATGCCTATCGTGTTACAAAAAGAAGAATAATGAAAGAAGAAGTAAACTACCTTCTTGAGAATATATGTTTTTATCAAAAAGAAGGTTTACAGATTTGGATATTGATTGAATGTTCATGGTGGCGTTTTGATCTAATGCCCCATTTGAGCTCATCACTACTGTAACTGGATCATTTTCACACTATTCAGATGTGTTCATCTGTTGATTTAACCAGCCCTAGTGAACTTGCTGGATTCTATCCAACAACAGCTGGAGCTGTGCCTACTGTATGTACTAGCTAGAGTCATCCCTGGGAAGCTGGCGGTGGGGAGGGCAGAACTACCTGATCTCTCCAAACACAGCCCCGGCCCTCAGTGTGACCAGGACTTTGGTGCCATCTGGGCCCCCCAACACCTGGACCTCCCCCTGCTTGATGATATACATCTCCCGGCCGATTTCTCCCTGAGAACAGGCGCACAAGAGGGAAAACATAGGCAATTAGTAAGAAGTTGTTTAATCAAACATATCAGCTTTATTAAGAACTCAAAGTGCCCTGCAGGAACTAAATTACAGATGGCTAAAGGCATAGAAAATCACTTAAAGTTCACACTGAAAACAACGGACTATGTGGGTCATTGCATGTACTGTACAAACATCCTTTACCATGAAATACAGGTGAACATTTCAGTGATATTAATGTCATAAAAATAATTTGATGTAAAGAAGCAGGGGTTGTAAATTACTTGTGTTGTTTTCCTGTTTGTTTAAACTGTATAATACTGCTACATTGGTTACCCTTTATTATATATTTTATAATAAAATACATATAATGTAAAAGTATTATAATGCTTATTGTATATTAAGCATCCAAAGGACATTATTGCTCTCTTCGTGTATGTTTTTATTTGTCATTCATGAATATACTGACTAGAATGACTGTCACCATTGCATTACCTGTAAATAACCAGGTGAAAATAATCAAGAAAGATAAAAACAGACTGTGCCATCTGCACCAGATAAATGTCTGATGGATGTCAGTGAGTGTGACACAGACATGCAGAACTGATAAGGAGTTTGAAGTGTGATGATCTAGGCAGGAATGTCATGATACTACAAAACTCCTTCAGGAGTGATTGATGGCAACCTGACTGAACAGCACTGCATTGATCGAGACCGAGGACTCAGCTGCCACCTTTCCTGTGGGCCCATCCTAATTCAACAACATTCCAGCAGAAGCACACATGCTGCTCAAGTGACAGCAGCTTTCTAGCCAGATGAGAAGGTGCCAGTTATGTTGTGGATACTCTATTCACCCGACTCGAGCTCTTTTGAATATCTCAGAGATGGGCTGACATGACATGGAGCATCTCAGACAGCATGTGCAACCAGCTAATCACACGTTGCAGTTATACAGTTCCATGGTTAGCTTGGTAATTTTGCAGCTGTATAGGACAGCTTGTATTCATTCCTGCATTTGGCCACACATACAACTTGCCTTTCACAGCAGACCCTTTCTCATCACCTTTTTACTGTAGGTGTCGAATGTTAAGGTTACCTATTCTGTTTCTGCTCAGTAATGTGTCAGGGCAAATTTGTTGCAGTTCCAAGTGAATTTAAAAGGATTTTTTAAAAGTGATTTTTTAAAGGAGTTCTGTGGTCTTAGGTTCTGAATTCTTTTAATTTAAATTGTGTACTTGTGTATGATTTAGAAATTTGAGTTTATTTTCTCAATCAGACAGCAGGCTTTCATATACCATCATGATTCCTCCTGCACACTGAGCTTCGCCTGAAAGAGCTGCATACTCAGGGACTGAGAGATTAGGACAAGAGTAAGCATGGCTGTGCTCAGCCACCTGTTTCAATACCATCTTTAAAGGGGATCAGCTGGTTCATTTCTTGAAGTAGATATGAACCTATGTACAGTTAGGCTGTGCAGTGTAATGTACTGTCCTCACACACAAACCTTTAGAGAAACTGGTATAATATCCCATTGTTCCACTCTTAGTTCACATCAGCTTTTCTATTATTTAACTTAGAAGACTCAATCACTGTTAAGAGCCATCAGGTACCTTGGGACTTAGCTATAAGAAAGATTTTCTCTGACAGGACTGCCGAAAAGATGGTTACGCTCAGAGATATTGCTGCACTTGCTACTTGTCCTTACCTTTTTGCAGACATAGTCTCCTGGTAAATACACAATGGATTTCAGCCGGAGTAGCATGTCCACAATCATCTGGTTATCACATCCCTGAGTCAAGCACATACAGTGACAGATTGTCAGTCTGCAAGTTGTTACTGTCTGCAGAGCATGATGAAATTCCAGCAGATAAACTTGCAGGTAATACAAATTTGAGAGTTACTAATGGATATTTTAATGTCATTTTACTTTTATTTTGTAACATGAGGAGTCTGCATTGTTAATTTAAAAAATGGTAAAACTAAGACAGTGTAAACATTTTATGAATACAGTCCCACGGCTCGTGCAATATAACTATTACAATGTAGTAGAGAAACAGGGGCTTTGAGTAAAAAGAGATGACACAGAACAGAGTGTTTCTGTTACATTGTTACATCAGATAAAGTATGTTCTGTGCATGTGTACAGATGATTGCCGAGGCACTGGAATCCATCTAGAAAGTGAATCCAGACTCTGACAACATGTTTTCGTATTGAACAGCCATCAGTCAGCAGAGGGCAGCACGGCTACAGGAACATGAGATGGTAGAGTGGAAAAAACATGTTGTAGTAATGAAGTGATTTGCAACCTCTGGGCTCACATAGTTTGGTTATCTTGTGCCACATGGAATGTGGTCCGGAAACTCAAGCTAGAGAAAGATTAAGGGTGGAATTTCAAAGAAATGTATCCGGCATATACAGTTCCAGTCTCAGAAGACCACACTGTCTCTGGACTTGGATTTGATTTGAATTTGAAGTTATTTTTAACTTGTCTTCTATATAGCGATATAAATGAAAGATATTCACTGTTAAAAGTTGGAGCTATGCAATAATACGTTCTTTCTTCTATTTTTTCCCTCCATCCATCAGATTTCCAATTAGATTGAAAACAGAGATCTGTTATCATTGAATCTACATTCCAAAAGCAGAACTGTGCATTTCTAGTTGCAGAACAGAATGACTTCCTCTCAGGAGGCATACATACACCCCCATGTCACAAACTAAGCGCTCACCTTGAAAAGCTCGATCTTGCTGACGCTGTTGAAGTTCACATCTACGGCAATAGCTGTCCTCATTGTCATCGGCATCTGCTCCAGCAACTCCGACTCATCTGACAAAAAATGCGAAATGTGCTTTGAGTACAGAACTACACCAGTCCTCACTGTATATCAGGAGAATCACTACATCTGGCCCCATTAAAGAAGGAAATAAAAAGAATCTGTTAGTGATCCTGTATCAACAACAAAGAAACGGCCTTAAAGTTGGTTAAAAGAACTATACTGTAGGTCTTTCCTTTTATGGCTTAGGTTGAGATAGTTTTCTGAAATAATTTTGATGCTTTTCCTTTATTAAACTGTACAATAAACACAACGACAGCACAATAAATTCCATGCACTTACCCAGCATGCCCTGGGATGCCCAAGTGTAGTTGTACCAGGTGCGAACTCTGTTCTGAACCAGCTTGGGAATATTGTAGGTGTTCATATAGGCCACAGTGCTATCCATAGAGGCTCGGAAATATGTCTGACCTGCTGTGGCAGCTCCAATGACATCTCTCATCTAAATAAATAAAAACAGTACTTAGATACATGGAAAGTGGTAGTCCAGTACTCATTTTAGTATTGCAGGGAAGACTGTGGTCAAAATCACAGATTAGGGTCTGTCTTTGCAAGCTCATTCATAATTGTCTTTGCCGTAATGTACTTGCAAATAAGATATTCTATATAGTAGATCCAACCTACAGAGCCATACACACACAGGGACATGCATGCAGACACAAGAAAGTGAGCTAGTCTAAAACCAGAAGTTTTCCCAATGAATGCACTGGCAGTAACCAACATTCATCTCTCTCAGTTTTACCTGCCCAATCAAGCTGGAGAACACAAAGACACCTGTGAAATAGTTCAACAACTGAAACACGATCTCAAATACTGTGACTGGCTCCGGTAGGCCCCCAATGGTGATGAGGGTACGCACTGCCCAATAGTAACAGCGCAGGTACCTGCGGAAGGGCAGAGTTCAGAGGACTACCACATACAGTAGAGACAACCCAAAACATAGAACTAACTCCTAGAGTCCTTGCTTCTAAGACTGGGAACCTCTGCTGTAGTCACAGAGTACAAAAGGCACAAAAGACTGAACTATAAAATTAATTTGGAACCTGTCTTGAAAATTATCGCCTGGTAATGACTGTAACTACAAGATGTTACTTTGTTTTAAAATATCATTCTCAGATACTGTTTTATAACTTGCTTGCCTAGATATTAACATTAGGGCTCAATAGAGCAATGCATCAAAGTAAACTATTGCATCTTACCAGGCTAATCTGAACATTTTTGATTAATACAATAAAATCATTTCGTAAAGTCAGCTTCAGTGATGTTATGTAAATGCACTTTATTGTATTCTATTAGTCTATTCTTCAAAAACATTCCAAAGACACCAAAATTCAAAAGTCAAAAGGAGTTAAGAGGAAAGCAAAATGTTTGGAAGAATTTAAGATTAATAGTCTGCTGATTTTTGATTAAATATGGAATTGAATAAAAAATAAAGGAAATTGAGGGCACATCAATGGAAGGGCTTCAAAAAAGAAGAGAAAACAAAACGTCCAGTAAAAAATGTGGCCCAAAACTTCCAGACACCTGAAAAAGCATTGGTCAAACTGAGAAAGATTGAAGTCTTCCAAGAAAATCTGCTAGTATAATACGGTGACTTCATCTGAAGCAAAGCTGATTTACTGAGCTTATGGAAAAAGGAAAAGCTTCAGGGCTCCTTCAAAATGATAACTTCAAGTCCAAAAACTTGAGTTGTCATCACTTTTCTTATCTCCTGCAGCTCTGCAATATTCCTACACATGTATACTGTTGTCACTGTTTTTCAACTTTAAAACATAAATACTGTATCTACTGTATATATAATGTATAATACAGTATATACAGTATATTGTGTTGATATATACTGGACATACTGGTTCTGTTGTCTTTCTGGTCCATCCTGAACTATTGTGCAAAACAGAAAAAAAAAAGGTAAAATGGTGAAAAAGTTCTACCTGGCCAAGAAATGTTGAAAGAAAGAATGCACCCAAAAAATAGTTTGTCATCTGAAACATTTGTTCAAACAGGGTGGTTGGGAAGGGAAGCTCCGCAATCATCAACAGGGCTTTCTCAGCATAGAGGAAGCAGCTCAGGTAACTACAAGAGGGGAGGAAGAAAAGGCTAAAAATCATTCAAAATAGAAAATATTTTCTCTCTGGTACAAATTCACCCAATCCTGTGCAACCCCCCCAAAAAATATAAGAAAATTTTAAATTGAAAGCTGTGTCAATGCAATGCTGCTGATTCATAAAAATGGCTAAGAAATATTGAATCTAGTATTATTAGTTTTGATCACTTTTGGGACTTAAAAAACTGTGTCTCCAGCCAAGATGTTGGACTCCCAGCCCCCATGAAGGACAGGAAGTGCTGAGAAGAACCTCCCGATTCACTGCAGTTTGATCTATGACCATGATACCATTATAATAGTCATCTAGTGTATCTTCATGTATGTCATGCTGAGAAATTAAGGTTTGGCAAGACTTTTCTTTTGCTCTTCAAATCCTGGAATATGCTCTAGCTGATGCTCTCTAGGTTATCTGGGATGTGGCCTCATTTAACCTGCTCTCTTCAAAGTGTACTGTATTCTGGGTGCTGCATGTAACCCATTAGGTAACCTTGTCCCCTGTAGGACCTACCGGACAGTTTTTGTTGCTTCCGTCCAAGCTGTAGAAAAAATAGCTTTTCAGTGCTGACTTCAAAACTTTTCCTTTCTGAATACAGAATGTTTTTGCACATTTTGCCGTGTGTAAAAAACATGAAGAGATCCAAAACAATGAACAGTGCTGCGTTGTGGGGAAGATGTTATAATATTGAAAGTGAAATTGTCCTCTTTTTGTGACAACATCCACCAGAGTGTAGAAACAAGGAGCATAGGAGCATGGAACAATCTACTCATGCATGTTGTTGTTGCTGATACCCTGGCTTGCTTCAAAAAACAGCTGAACTACTGTAGAAATACATTTGTAACTGCTTATGTTTTAAAACTTAGGTTCTAAACATAATAACACATGGTGGTGTCATTCTGAAAAGAGTAATCTTTGTTCTTGCTTTTGTCAATATCAATATTTCCCTTGGATTGTTTATTTGGGGTAAAATAATTTTGCTCCTTAGGAACCAAAAACAGTGCTTCAGATGTAGCATAAAAATGCTTTTGGTGTTGCAGATTAATTAGGAAAAAAAGGCATTGTGCAAGTGATGCAGTTTGTCACTCTGTAAAGTAAAATTATGAAATACTGCATCACTCATCAGTGAGGTAGATGAAGGACACAGCATACCACTCCAGCATTTACCAAAAGCAGCATCTTCTGAAACATCAGTGAGTACTGAGTACTCATGATGAGCTTCTTGGAATGCTACATCATAAAAAGGAAAGGACCTACAGTACGTACGCATTGCCTTCGCCATCGTAAACCCACTTGGTGGATCCAATACCTTCATAGTCTGAAGCATAGTAGTATAAACAGGCATTAAGGTGCAGGATGTAGAGCAGGTAGCCTGTGGTGCGTATCACTCTGGAAAACCCAGGAAAAGAATCTTGTTACAGGCTGTAGAACAGTTGATTTTGTACAGGCCAACCACTGCAGTTACAATACAACTTGTAGTGCAGTTGTTGCAATGATGCTGGTGATTATAATCAAACAGTTGCATCCAGAAGCACCATCTTTGTCTTCACAGAAGACACTCATGGCATGAAGAACAGACTCAAATGTGCATATGAACTGTTGGGAAAGTCTTTACTCTTCATGAGCTGTTAAGCTCTAGCAGACAGGCAGTATGAAAGAAACACTCAAGTGTGTATCTTGAGTTAAAGAAACTGCCTTAAGGGGAATTTGGGTCAGGGAAACTGCATTGGAAGTAGCCCTGTAAACGCTCAAATCATCCTGGTGTTTCACTTGCCTGATCGGTGGCAAACCTTGAGCACGGGCCAGAGTGGTGCCACTACCCACCAAAAGCTGGTGGAGGCAGGGGAAGAAGGGGTGCAAGATACTACTGTATTATCATTTCTTTGTTTCTATTCAATGGATGTTTTGATCTATTAATAACTGAAGAATTCAAGGTACTCCTATCAGTGTGGCCATAAGGCTCAGATCTATGTGTGAAGTTTTGTAAGGGCGTTTATAGAAAAGTCTCAGAAATAACCAATTAACATGTGAGGCTAATTTATTTTCTGTTTTTTACATACCTGTAAATATAGGCTTTACTCATGATACCTTCCAAGCGATCATTAAAGTCAAAGAATGACTCACGCTACAAAGAAAAAAAGAAACCTCATATTATATTGAAACATAGAAGCTGTATCATTTTTCTATTGTCTGTTGCATTTACAGTATCTTACATAAAAGTATGATAGCCATTAGATCTGAACTCTAACTCTCATAATGACTGTTCAATATTTAATGAAATAGCACTAATAGTCACGTGAATGCCAGTACTGGATTTATTTGTGTTTGAACACAATCCAGCTACATTGAACACAAAGATTGAACACAATCTTTTACCTCAGTAAAAGAAAACTATTTTGCACACACCATAAATAAACTAGGAAATTATGTGCATGCTACTGTATTTACAGAATGTGTTACCATTTTCTTTGAGTGGTATATTCTAAGTTCCCTTTTATATAATTAGCAGCAACAATATCACATACAGTTCTATCAATACTTTGTTTTTGGCGAAAGAAATACCCATAATTACCTTCATGAAACGATTTATTCTAAATACTGACTTAAATCCAAAACGAAAGCACAGCAGGTCAATGGGCAACACACTGATAAGGTCAATCTGTGTGGAGAACAGAAAGATTGTGACCACTTCATTATATTACACACACATAACAGAGCTCATTGAGTCTGTTATGGTGATGCAATTCCCTAGAAACCTAGAGAGTGTAGAATTCTCCCGCAATTGTGATTGAATCTTGAATGAGGCAGAGAATGGAGATCCTATTGTCACACACACACAAAAATTCTTAAAAAGAAGCTGGACTGGTAGCAGCCACCATAAATCCCTCTCTGTTTTACTTGCTTGAATATTGTGACTGGCTCCTGAGGGAACATACTGTCTTCACAATCACATGTATTTCCCTACTGCAGTGTCAGTCACTTTCTACCAATAATTGCCTGTGCTCAATAGTCAGTTTTCTTTTTATTCTGCTCATATTGCATCAATGTCTTGTACTTTATTGCTGTGAACATTGCTAGTATAGTAATGGTAATAGTAGTGGTTTTAGTAATCAAATTGCTGTATCAGTATTGTTATTCTGAAGAAAAATCAATATTCCATCCAACAGTGCTCCGGTGGTTGCAGGTGGATTAAAGGTGAATTTAAGTTCTTGAGAAAATCATAAAACAAAGGATACTCATGCATTTTTCTGACAAGTAATTTTTGTTGTGTAATTTATGTTATGTATTTGGAATGGAATGTAAACAGCAGCCTCAATAAAATACTTCAAGATATTTACTAAAAGGAAACAGGACTGGCTCCAATAAGGAATCTGACTTGTTCAAATTCCCACAGTCAAACACACACATCAGGAATGTTCTGTATTGACAAAATGTATCATCAATTGCATTTTTAAGCACCTTGGGGCAACCTTGTTGTGAAAGGCGCTATATAACAATAAATTGAATTGAATTGAATTGGAGCACATTTCAAACTTAAAGTTAAATATTGTAAGTGAAGAATATTGAAAATATGCAAAAAAGCAAGCATAGCAGGGACCTTTTGTTTTCATAATTTTGTGGGCCTCTGAGAACTATAATCTATAATGGTAGATAAAGTATAATGAAATTATTTAAAATGGAACTCTATTTATATTATATTAGAATTGCAATAACCCACACCTTTATACAGTATATGTGTATATATATATATTTGTATGTAATTTTGCAGCCTACTTACTCTATATCTTGCAGACTCTCTGTAATGCTTCTTGATTTCCTTTCTATCATACTGGAAGAAAGTGAAATAAATGGAAAAAGTTGATTGAATGTGATGCACTAATTAGCAACATATTCAGCAGGTGCTCCAAGCTGTCGTGTAAGGCATGCTGTTGCTATCAGTTATAATCCTTTATGCAAATGATATCACCTTTCACATTTCTCACATTTATGGATAGGTTGCACAATCAACCTGTTACTGATGCTGCTTGGCCAGTCAGAAGCTGCCTTTCCCTGCCTTATTACGATGAGTAGCCTTGACACAGAAAACCTGAATGTGACACCAAGCCCAAGATGAAGGAGGCACAAACACTGCTACTGCGTATGATTATTTTTTTGATATAATACAGTATGTCATTTGGAATTCAAAACCAAATTGGAATATTGCAGTGCAAACAATGATAACAGATACTGTATATGGAAACATATTACTGTATATACACATCTTCAGTTGCTCTTGTTAGAAGTAGGAATTGCTATAGGTATGTTTTTTTAAGGACAAGAAACATATTAATATTACATAATTTTATCTCTATTATAAATTCTGTCAAATCAATTTATATAAATAGTGCTTTATTAAGTTCATTTGGGACTTACAATGATATCACCACCTCGGACAAATTGTATGCGCGTCTGGAACACCAGCGTGTCCACGATGTAAATTATGTCAGACAGCGTGTCGAAGAAGATCCAGTAGGGGATGCTCTTTGCTGTGTGGCAGGGGAAGGCCATACGAGCTGGGATGAACCAGCAGTTGTAGTTGAATGCCAAGCTCACTATAAACAGCCAAAAGATGTACCTGCGGTCTGAGAAAAAGACGAACAAGATGATTTCTTGCAAAATCTATTGTTATAATCATTATTAAAATTATCGGCAACAAAAAATGTCACTAACAATATCTATTTTAATTTACCATTTTAATTTAACAGTTTCTGATTTGCAGTATTTGTATAAGATGCTGTAGAAATGGAATATTAGTGGTCTTTTGCCATTTTATCATCACACTGGAAGCAGAAACAAATCTGAGATTGTATGACGTTTTTGCCTCTCACACACAAAGAAAGTACAAGACTAATAAATATTAATACCTGTATTCTGAAGCAACTGCATGCTCTTAAAAAGACACCCATAACCTTGAATGATGTTCGTTGAAAGAGACAGATTTACCTGTGAACTCATCCAAACTCTCTGGCAGCTTACACTTCTTCAGCTTGTCCTTCAGGGCCTTGGTTTTGAATTTACAGCACAGCATGTTGCAGTAGTGCTCCTCGTCTGGCTTGGCTTCTTCCACTTGAGCCTCTTCCTTCTTCTCGTCTTTCTTTTCATCCTTCTTTTCCTCCTTTTTCGGAGGGGGCTTTTTGAGTGGAGCTTAAAAAAAGGAGTAGATTATTTTTTTTTAATCCATTCTTCCATTCCCTATAGTTTTTTTGTTGTAACGTAGCAGATACAGAGCACAAGGTACAACTGCATCCTGGATGCGATGCCTGCTCTTCCCAAGGCTACAAACATGCATCTTCGGAAGGTGAGAGCATTCAGAGAAAACCCCCATGGACAGGGATTATGGAGAACATGCAGACTCCACAGAGAAAGCACACTAACCCAGAACTGAACTCAGGACCCGGCATTGGTGAGGCAACAGCCCTAACTGCCTTACATTGTGTAACCCATTTGCAAAATATTAAATTACATATATTTGCATATAAACAAAAAGAAATATAATCTATTGTAAGAAAAAGAGTTGAGCACTCAAAATTAGTAGAGAAGATCCAAGATTGTATTTTGTAATGAGTGAGGTTCTGTTTTTTTTTCTGTGGATTTTCAGTGTGGGTAAAACTTTAAACATTATTTCAATGCAATGAGAACACAACCTCTTTAAGGATAAAATGAAGAATACTTTAAAGCTGTTTAATTCTTGGTATGTATTGTGTGTGTACTGTATGGTGCGTTGATTCTGCTTGTGAGAAGAAGTAAGATTAAAAAAGGTTCATAATATTATATAACCAGCTGGGCAAACTGAATTCACTCCATAAATCTAATCAGTTATAGACTTTTTTTGGAGACATATATGACAAAAACATAGGATTACATTCCTCTACAGACACCAATCACATAAACAAAGATAATTATCTAAAACAAGCTGTCTAGTAGTTTATTAAGTGTAATAAATATTGTCAACCTGTATTTAAATGTCAAGTTGTTCTTTTAGTTTACTAAATAGTCCTTGCCAGAAAGTGGTAATAAAGGCTATATTATTTTACCTTAAACTATTTATTACTTAGTGCTTATCATTACTTTAGGAGAAACTGATCATTTTAGTCTGATATTTTGATATTAGACATGTATAAACTGAGTAGAAGACAGAATACTAGTAAACATCTTATACTCTACTGCAGTTACTTTAACAAAGAGTCTGATTTTCAAATACTACTCCCTGTACTGTGTTTTGTATGAAGGAGGCTTACAGGGAGGGGGACTGGGTTCAGGAGAGGAGGCGTTCTTATCTGTGATTTTCTCCCTGTACAGTGCTGTTCTTTCCTTCAGCCGTTTCACCAGGTCACGGAGATGATCGTCGGTGTACTTGTTGATGATGATGGGAACCGAGGCAGGACCAACCTCTTCCTGACTAGCAATACAGAGAACAGCAATAAAGAGAAAATCAGGCCAATAGCAAAAGGCAAATGTGTTGTTTTATCTGTATATACCTGTTCTGAACAATATTTGAAGCCCTAAAGTGACATCTGTGGGTTTCAAGCTACTTAATGACTTTTTCAAGACTTGTCTTATTAAATGTGCTTGATTTAATCTCATTTTCTGGCATCCTCACAAGCACACTTTCTCTCTGTGTCGTGAAGCCTTTTGATCAACTGTTGGAAGACTTGTTTTTATGTTGTTAACAGGGTAAGGTTGATTAGACCACATATATTTAAAAGAGTGTAAATTACATGATGCCCAAGAAACATAAATTAAAAATAAAGAATAATCTGAGCATTTCTGAGAATTTAGATCTGAGGGTTGCATAACTATTAATGACTGAATGAATATTTACAATGAAGAATGACTTGAACTAACTTTGCTCTATTGTACTTTAGATTCCAGGATAAGGTGACTGAAATCTTTCTGTGTTCTGTGTAAAATAAAAAAAAAGCTTTAACAGTGACATTTAAAAGACATTATTGCATTCCTCTTATCTGTTGATAAAGAAAACAGTTCATTCGGTGTGTCTCACAGTATCCCACTACATGTCAGGTAGGTTTCATTGCATTTAGAGTCTATAGGTACAGTACTTGGAATACAGATTAAACTCCTTTATGGTATCTACAGTACTGAACTCTTCCTTATTTTTATAGCATCTCACATGTGGAATGATAGCATTCCTAGGTGTTTGCACAGGATTACAAGATTACCCACAGATACAAATGGTGAAATAATTAAAATCCATATTATATAAGAATAAAAACTTGCTCTGCATTACAACTTAAGTATCTGCCTGTAGTTGTTTTTAGTGCTCCAGCCAAAGTAGCTCCCATGATCCTCTTAATTTAGGAATACAGAAAATCCCTTAATCTCCTTTCAGCTCCTTTTTGGAGTCAAGTTGCCTTACTTGCCCCAACCTCTGACAGGAAGCAGGGGGGAGAAGGGCGATAATAATTCAGACAGGTACTGGGGTGCCAAGCCATGCAGAGCCTTATAGGTGAGCATGAGGATTTTAAAGTCCGCACGGAATTTGACAGGAAGCCAGTGCAAGGACTCCAGGATAGGAGTAATGTGATCACTTGCATTAGACCTGGTCAGGATTCTGGCTGCTGAATTTTGGACATAACATACTGCAGTTTGTTCAAAGTAGATTTAGATACCCCAGCAAGTAGAGCATTACAGTGGTCAATTCGAGATAACACAAATGTGTTTGATCAGCTTTTCAGCAACAGTTAGTGATAGCATAGGGCCTAGTCTAGTGATATTTCTGACGTGAAAAAAATATGTTTTGACAATATGCTGCACATGTGGGTCGAATGTTAAGCCAGAATCGAATATCACCCCAAGGTTTTTCAATTTAGACTAAAGCTCAAGTAATAATAATAATAATGATCGCTTACACTTATATAGCACTTTTCTGGACACTCCACTCAAAGCGCTTTTACAGGTAATGGGGACTCCCTTCCACCACCACCAATGTGCAGCATCCACCTGGATGATGCGACAGCAGCCATAGTGCGCCAGAACGCTCACCACACATCAGATATCAGTGGGGAGGAGAGCAGAGTAATGTAGCCAATTCATAGAGGGGGATTATTAGGAGGTCATGATTGGTAAGGGCCAATGGGAAATTTGGCCAGGATGCCGGGGTTACACCCCTACTCTTTTCGAGAAACGCCCTGGGATTTTTAATGACCACAGAGAGTCGGGACCTCGGTTTTACGTCTCATCCGAAGGACGGCGCCTGTTTATAGTGTCCCCGTCACTATACTGGGGCATTAGGACCCACATGGACTGCAGGGTGACCGCCCCCTGCTGGCCCCACTAACACCTCTTCCAGCAGCAACCTTAGTTTTTCCCAGGAGGTCTCACATCCAGGTACTGAACAGGCTCACACCTGCTTAGCTTCAGTGGGTTGCCAGTTGTGAGTTGCAGGGTGATATGGCTGCTGGTTGAAGCAGTACAGAACCATCTACAGTTAGAGTTACAGGATTGGCTTTACAAAGTTGATGGAGGGTCCCAATAAGCATGACGCATGAAGCAATATACATAAATTAATTTCCAGTTATCCTTGTACCACTTGAGAATTACATGCATAAACATCATCATGATCACTTCTTCTAACTCTGTCACTTCCTGTGGTATGGAATGGTGTCCACCTCACTCTACACCGTGGGTATGGAGAATAGTGTGGAGCACAGTGGGAACCATGGCATCAGGTAGCAAATACAGCACACAGCCATGCTTGTTTGGCCTCAGATATGTATTTCACACCTGAAGGTTTTGAAAAACTAAAAAACTTAACTTGGAAAACAGGTGATTAATTAAATTAGGGCTCTTGAGGACCAGAGATGCCTTATTCTTGCCATACTCATAAATACTGGTGACAGATGACCAAACCATTTTTTACCTTTTAATTTATCTCTTTATGAAGTTTTGTGATTTGTGATTGACTCCATTGAAAGGTGCAACTGTCTTTATGTTGCTTAAAATTGCTTTCCTCTGAACGACTGCAGGGTTCCTGCACATTCTCCTCCACAATGAGCGGTTAACAGCCTTCTCCTCAGACATCAGCAGCTTGAGCATTGCCATGAATTAACTGTGCTTTTTAATAAGGTCTGTAACGATAGGCCATTAAATGCTCCCTGCACTGTCTGCTGTGTAGACGACACGGGTGAGCTGTATATATTGAGAAAACTTTTCAAATATTCAAAATTTCAACTTGGCTCACCATCACAAAGCACATACCCAGTACTTAGATTGAGATGTCTTTGCCAGAGGCTTCTTCCTTCCTATCAAGTAGAAACCCACCATTTAGCACAGGGATTCAAATGTGTAGTAGGATCTGAAGAGTCTCTGTCGTTGGGCAATGGCATAATCTTAGGACATACAGTACAGTATTTCAACTGCCTTGTCTGGCATATTTCGGTTTGGAACAATAATACATCTGATTAATGTGTTTTAATAAACAATATCTATCAGAAAAAAATGCACTGTGGCAAAAACTAAACAAAGCTAAAACAAACCTTCATAAAGAAAACAGGTACTTCTTTTTTAATCTGCATAAGTTTCAGTGACTACCTCCCTGGTCCTTCTGCCATCTTACCAAGCTGGATCGCCTGGGCTGTCGGCAAGATCTTCTGCCTTCCTTTCCGAATTCAGGACATCTTTGGCTTTTTGGGGGGGCTCAGAAGGTGGGGCCTGTGGGGCTGGAGCTGGGGCTGTAGAGCAACAAAGTTAAGAATAAGAACCTGTTTAATTGCCAAGCAGATCTCCCAGACTACAGGGGGACTGTGCATCCTTTAAGGGAGCAGAAAGAGAGCAGTACAGTATATTAAAGTGAGAATTGACACTTATGTTTGCTTTTGACCCCAATTTTGAAATCACCAATTGTTAATAAGATTAATAATTAATAATCTGAATCTAATAACAGCAGAGAGGGGATGAGGATAGTGAGCATTTTTCCCCCACACAAAAAAAGAAAAGAAAGTGGAGGTGTTTTTACAAGGAGCCCAGGAGTGACTCACAATGACTTCACAAAAAACTCCCACTCAGGCTATAATTTATTTCAGGATATTGCATATATTATAATACAATATGAATTGAAGGTGACTGAAAAGATAATAACGTAAGCAGGCAATTAATAAAAAAGAGTTTATTGTTTCTTTTTTGCAATAACTGACACGATCTGATTGTTCTATTTGTTGTGAGTCAAGTCATTCTTTTTTCTTTCCTTTCTTGGAGAATCTAAATCTGACATGTGTGGGCTGTCAGCGTTGGTTTCTTTTTCAAGAAAAGAAACAAGGCTAAAAATACCAAAATGACAAAAACAACTTTGATATTTCCACTATGATACTGGTTTTATTTAAATGTATCTTGAAAAACAGTGTACCCAGACTTTTTACTTATTCTTAAAGTATGATATCTGTTCTGGAAAAAGACAGGCTTCCAGTGTGAACAGGGTAGCGTGGCCTGGGGTGCAGCACAGGCCTCTACAGATATGCCGCACTGTGCCAATTACAGGTGGAGTAGATGCTCAATCTCTCTGCACTTGCACAACCACTCCTGTTGCCACATAAAGATCACAAGAGGAGGTACAGAAATATCGCCCTTCCTGTTTGGTCTTCATTTTAACTAGATGCTTTTATTACGTTTAGGCTGACTCTTGGGAGCCCCTTTATATTAACATGAGCTTAGTAAACATAAGGTTACAAACAGTTTAGTCCTTCTAGTGCACTTGGTTGCTAGTATAATTGACTGAAGGATCTCAACCAGCTGTTTCTTGAAAGAAGTTTCAACAACATGGCAAAGTATCTTGTTCTACACTCCCACAACCCTCTGGTTAAAAAGTGCCTCCACTTCTTCATTGAACTTCCATGTTGTTCCTCCTTGTTTGTGTTTCTCTGTTCACTCTGTAGAAGTTCACTGGATTGACTTTGTCAGTGCCTTTGAGGGCTTTGAATAGATGTATAATGTCCCCTTGCAATCTTCTCTGTTTAAAACTAAAACAAAAGTGATTCCTGTTCTCAATTTTAAATTCACTAATCCAAAGCTACCATTTTTGCGTTCTGGATTTTGATTCCCTGTTGATCAAGAAAAAGTGTGCCAGGCTGGCTCTGTTAATACCATTAAGTATTCTGAGTACAGTAATCCCTCATATAACACCACATGTCTGTACTTTATGTGAAAATATTTAATGGATTGATGATTTTCTAATTAAAAATAAATGAAAAGGCAAGACTGGCATTCTTGGCTGAGATTTCATATATATTATTATTAGTATTATAGTTTTTTTCAAGTACAGTATGTGTTTGCATGTGTCCAAATATGTTTTAGCATGCACACATGTATGTGTTAATATTTTATTAGCATGAATGTACTATATATTTAAATACATGAATGACTGGTTTTACATGTGTATGCATTGGTACGATTCCTTAAAAAAAGTTACGCTTCACAAGATGCTCTAATTTAAATAAAAATCTAAATTTTATAATATGAAAACAAAGAATGAAAAAAAATATAGACTGATAATTTTACGAACCTCACTGACCCAGTCAGATTCGTTCACCATTGTCTATATGCTTAATATTTCAAGTTTCTGGCCATTGGGGACTATGTTGACTTTAGGTTTGCATATACAGTAATGGCCAGTATCTCTAACAGGGGGTGTATGTCTTTCTTTCTTCTTTGAGCTTCCCACCAATCAAAGGTCCTTCTAGCACAGACACTGCGATTAAAGACTCAGACTCAATTGCTTCTCAGAAAGGGAGGGCATGTTGAGGTGTTTGGTGGGGTAGGTAGACATCAAAGGAGAGCCAGGGCTCCACGATCCCTGGCCTTTGGCAAACAGTTCATTAATTAGGCAGTGACCAAGAACATCACAACATCACAAAGACACTTCTACCTTTCCCTCCATAATGGGTCCTGAGCCGTGGTAGGAATGGGCTATAAAAGTCTCAGGAGGACTAAAAAGAACAGAATAGGCAGAGACGTATTTGGGGGGATAAGACTGTACCATTGGACAACATAGAGAAGGTGGACAGCTCAGGGCTCCCACACTGTCTTCTCCCCCCAACCTGCTATTGGACATAGATAGATACTTTATTGATTTTGTGAGGGACAAAACAGGGTAGAGGGAGCATAGTGGAGAGCATTGTTCAGGATGGCCTGGACTGAAGAAGATGCCCAAGACCACTGAAAGACAATTCAGAGTTTTTTCTCTGTGGCAGAAGGAGACATGTCACGTGATCGACCAAAGCTGTTTCAGGAGAGCAGTGATTCTAGACTTTGTGTCATTGGTTTTTGGACAATTGTGGTCAATGAGCATTCACGTGTTTCTGTGGTGCATGTGTTCTGTGTTTTTACGCAGACAGCGAGAATCTTTTAATTGTTGGAGAATACAAAAATAAATCATTTTTAAGTGGGTGGATGTTTTTTGAGGAATAGCTGTACTTGGATCAGGTCCCCTTGTAGTCTCTGTTAAAGACTAAAACATTTCAGTTCCTCTACCCCTGAGAATGTAAGATATTCCCTTCAACCCTGGAAGGTATCCAGGTTGCTAATCTCTGGACAGGTTACAGATCAGCAATATCTTTTCTGTAATGTGGTGACCACAATTCTACTTATTCTAAAGAAAGTCCTATGGTGTATTGGACAATTCTAATACAATGTCACCTAATTTGTCTTTGAAATGGTGGAATTTTCATCTACAAAGTGTGTAAACATCTGTTCATTACTGTGCAAATTTACTCTTATTGTGCATGCTTCTAGCAATCATAAATTTTAAATGGATCTATAAAACTTTTATTATTGTTTATTAAAAGCCTAAAAAATATTTAACAAATAGCCAGAAGATACTGGTGTCTGTAATCCATGCCAAATGTTATGACCTACCAACAAATAATGTAGGTGGTTTTTAATGGGTCACGGGGACTGTAAAGCTGTTGCAAGCACAGAGTGCTAGGAAAGTTGATGAAATAACTGCCACCTGTCTTACTGAATCACTCACCACAGGGAGCTGACTTGGGGTCCGCCTCTTTTGTGGCAGCATTTTGATTTTCTTTGGGCTTCTGCTCCTTCAGAAAAAAAACCCAACACCATCGTCTCATACAAATAACGTCCTTTATCACCAAAATTTTTTCTTCATTGCAGATGTGCAAACAAAAACAATAAATATTAGGGCAGTTCTGTTCTCATATTCCTCAATCTTTCCTCCTGGATATTTTGCTTCATGTTAATGTTGGGGAAATCAGGTCAGTGGAAAGGACAAAAATCAGTAGACTAGATATGAATAAAGTCCCACCACACCTTATTCCCCAAACTCCCTGCTGTCTTCCAGATCTCCTCCACACTCCATGAAGCATTAACCTTAATTTCTGCCATTTTTCTGAGTGTTTCCAGGATAAAGATGTCCTCTTGGGTATCTACACAATTAAGTAATTAACTACAACTTGATAAGATAAATGGTGTTTAATAATCTTAGATGAGGCACCACTGACAAACAATACAATTGCAGGAATACACTATTAAATAACATTGTTTCAAGAACAGGATGCAAGCATTGTTTGCCCCTGCATACTATGTATTCATAGACTGACATTACATGGATGATTAATGTATACAATGAACGAATATTAATAGCAAACCCTCTTGTTCCCTGAAAATGATATTTTCTTGTAAAAAAGATGCCCTGGAACTCAGTATCACACCCATTGTAAACAATCCACACCCCGTATATATATATCTGTGTGTGAATTAAATTAATTAAAATTATAAATAAAAGTTAGCAGGACAGTTTTTGTGTTCTTATTAGCACAGCATTATCAACATTTACCACTGGAATGTTTCTGTTTTTTTGTAGGAATGTTCCAGTGGTTAAAGCAAGTTACAGTACAGTATGTTTACCGACCAGAGTTGCAAACCAATGAAGACTGGAATGCATTGTGTTTTCCTTTGTAACTGGCTTGATCTCTGAAACAAAAACAAATATCTAACTATGGATTTTATTTTGGAGCAGAACCCTTAGAAAATCCTGTGTAATTTAAATTTTTATCATTATTTTGCTTATTCTGTATTTTTTTGACATGCTCTAGTACGGTATTCTATAACATGAACAGTGAAGTCTGGCATCTCAGCAGGGCAGTACAGGTGAAACAGGTTATGACTTACCTGGGCTTCTGGCTTGGCATTTGCTGTGGATGGAGGTGCTGGGGCTACAGAGGCAGCAGGTTGAGTCAAGTCTTCTGGGTTCTTTGTGACTTCAGACTTCTGCGGAATTACTTTTCCAAGGCCTGATTTTAGTTTATTGAACATGTTTGGCAGTGAATGGAGGTTGGAGAAGATGTTTATCCCCCGCACTGTCTGAAGCAATTGCCACCAGAGCCTGATGCAATTAGTCTTTTCATCTTGTTAATTCCTCAGAGGAACACCCACTTTGAAAAGCCACTATCGTTCAGTTGTTTGCTTTGCTTTGAAATGTATCTTCAGGGCTTCCTTACAATACCATTTTACTTTTTATTTTGTTGGTTTGAAACATTAGATTTTTGGGTCATTTTGTCTTCTTTGAACAAGATCTCCTTCTTAGTGTTGTTTAGTGCTGCTACTGTTAATTTGAGCTATACATTATAATTTATGTCCTGTTGTTGATTTTCTTGTTCTAATTTATAAAATATCCATTTTAATTATATTTTTCAGTTCTAAAATATAATGCTAGTTTTTTCACTTTGGTTACAAGAAAAACACATTTTACCGTTTTTGTGATGCTCTTATTCTGTGAAGCATGAACCTTTTGTGCAAATAATGACAGGTGTCTTCTCAGACTAACGCACTGCAGTTATCTTGTGGCACAGACAGAGAGCTTTTACTTGATTGAACTTCACAAGCAGGGCTAACTAAGGAGATTAATACTGTGGCAGCTTGAGCCAAAAAGCCTTTAGCTTTTCACAGCTTGTGTTTTCTTATTCCTCCATCTAATTGTACAGCTAATACAGCATATACAGTAGATAAATGTGTCCTTTAAAACATGCAGTACTATAAAAAAACAATATAATTTCTTCCAAGCAGTCATGCAGTAACAGGGTTTCTGTTTCTTGAAAACTAGCAGAGTTAATGTTGAAGTTTCCAGTTAGCTACAGTACAGTCAGTTATATATTGCCCATTACACAGTGCTATAGAATCATTTCTAAAATGAGATTGGCTTCTGACGGCATGTCCTTCTCTTCTTTGTTAAATGTGATGTAGAGTCTGACACCTGGCTCGGGTCATATGGGAGATAAACCCAAAGGCTGGCAAAGAGCTGGGATTCCTCATTTCCTTCCTTGCTGGAAAACAACAGACTCAAAACCCCTTGAAGTATCAGTTCCAAGTTGAAATATTTTAGCATCACAGTTTCCTGCACTGTGAATAGCAATGAAATATGTTTTCGATGTGGTACTCTCTTCATCACACCTTGAGATCACCAGTAATGGTGCACTGGACTGTGAAACAGGACTTGAGGCAGGTCTTCTCAATCCTGAGTGTTGTGGCCAGACTCATGCAATTGACTCCCTTTTAACCTGTTCTTGTAGCTCGTTATACTGGTTTTCTTTTGGATATTTATGCTTGTTTTGAATATTTTATATAGTGTGTTTTTGTAGATTATAATCTTAATTACCATTTTATCATTTGGGTCAGTGCTTGGGTGATATTGATTTATTCAGAGGTTAAATGTGATCTGATACAAGCATGCTCTTTGGTAGGCATTCTGACAAACTGAGAAAGAAAGCAGTTATTAGCCTAATTTTAATGTCTGCCAATAACATTCTTTCTGTTTTTTTTTCCCCAATCTGTGTGAGGAAAATGCAAACCTCCCATGAAATGCACTTCTTCCTTTATACATAGATTTTTGATTTTGTCATATAAAACCTCATATGCTAGAACTGGGGTCTGTATCATATACAGACTCCTAACACTATGTCCTTTTAAATGTTTAAATGTATTCTGATTTTTGAATCATCCAGATTCATATGCCTTAATGCTATGCATGATAACATTTAGTATATACTACATATGGTTTATTATTGTTTGGTTCAGGTTTATCCAATGTGACTTCCAACCAAGATAATTACTAAATTGTAAAATATAGTTAATAATAGTAATGGTCAGTGGGTGTAGTCTCGATGACGTTTGTTTATGTTAAACACGTTATTACTGTGACGTCATCTGTTGCTGGGGGACAAGGAAGAAGTAATTGTTGTCACAATAACACGTGTTATCAACACTGGAGCCCAGCTCCTTTGCTGGAGCAATTGTAAGGTTGACAGTTTAAAGTTTTTCAGCCCTAATGATATTTTGTTTCTTAAGAGATATCTAAAATGTACTTAACATCGAATGTATCACGGTCCTCATCTGTTGCACTTCGTTTGCAGAAAGCTCGTAAGTAAACTTTAGTATTGTAATTGCTTAACTGTGTAGGTCACATACAGTACTAAACGCTTTCTTGATTAGGCAAGTGTCTTGCTATATTTTAAACATTTTAACTATAACTATATTTTAAATAAAACTTCACCGTTACATAATTGATCACATCACTGAAGTCCATATTGCGTATATACACACTTTGTATTATTCGGCTATTATACCACGACCTTTCATTTAATTGCTTTATTAGAATTAAAATTCTGATTAGAATTAGGTTACTAACCTAAATTACCATTTGTAGGCAGCCCACGATCAGTCTGTGCAATTATTGGTTAAGGTTTGTTTATACTAAAAGAAATTACTATTTTTTTTCCAGTGTGATATTGTTTTGAATGTACAGTAAATTACCTAGAATGTACAGTAAATTACCTAGAATGAAGTAACAGAAAAACATATTCTTAATATTATCCCATGAGTTTTCTCTGATTACTTTCAGAGTGTTAATTGTGGAGTATGGTTTTAATATGATAGTGAGATGTAGTGTGTTCCATTTAAATACTTAAAAAACGTATTGCTCTAATAAATGCTGTTCATTGCATTATGTATGTTATCTGCTTGTGTTAATTATGCTTTTAAGTAAATGTGAACTTTTTGCAGATCCTCCACATTTTGTTGGTATAGATTACACTCGACTGCAAGATTTATGTAACCTCAAGAGGCTCTGTGAGAGGTAAACAATGACTGTCCCGTTTTATGTAATTGAAATCAATCTGTATATAATGGTATACCATAGATCTATAGCTGAACATTTGCAAATGGCGACTGGTATTTAAGTTATTCAGCAGTAACTGCTATTTGGCATTTGAGGCTCTAAGGTACTCTGAACAGTTTGAGGTATTCCAATGGGTGTTGAATTGCATATGGCAATAAATATAAGGTCGTTTTTTTATTTTTTAACTGAGGTGTTGGGGTTCAAGTTTTGATCATGATGTAGATTTCGAGAAAGTCATCCTAACTTGCATATGAGCTGTTTTTGAAGTGTCTTATTGTTGTGTGAGAATTAGAAATTTTGACAAAAGTATTCAATAATGTTGAATGGTAATTTACAAACTATTGCGTCAAGAGTTCTAAGACCAATTTACTGTTTATTCTCCATTCTTTAGGAGCAATTTGCAGTCCACAGACGAGGCCCATGACATTTTTATGATGTATTATCCAAAACTATTTCTCCAGCCTAAGAAAGTTCTGCCCAGTATACCTCAGTCAGACTCCAAATTGTAAGTACATAATGACATTGCCGTTCTTTAGCATCCTGATAAAGATGTGCGGGCATATGTGCTCCTGCATTCCACCCTTCAAAAAATTTGGTGGACCTTTGGTACAGTGTGTAAATAATATTACAGATACAATAAAGATATTGTTTTTTGATTGGTTTCTATTAAAAATGTGAGTCATTTTGAAATTTGAAATTTATTGTGGATTAGTGGAATAGGCAATCTTATTGTAACATGTGGATAGCAGGGAGAGATGTTGCTTGCAACTACAGGTAATAAGGGAATTACGAGTTCCTGAATCACATCTTCACTATTCCCATAACATTTCCCATTTGTACAGTATGTGGAATTATGAGTATGCCCTACTTGTATAACAAATCCAGAAGACATTAAATGGGGTTTCTCAACTGGTTAACACTGTATAGTTATATGCATATAAACTGGTATGATAGTTTGCATTTGTATTTGGTTGGACATTGCACTGTAACACTTTAATGGAAGATAAAAAACTCTGTCATACTCAAATTCCTTCATAACTGTTACACAACATGATATTACAACATGCATAATCATTTATAAAATTTTTGTGCAAATGATATTACAGGCAGGCAGTAATTCATAATGATTCGTAACAAGACTTGCTTTCAGATTAAAGCTAGGAGCAGAACTCTTGATGGAAATGATGGAAGACACCATTAAAGACTTGAAGACTTTCTGCAGATGCAGCTCAGTAACAGTGCCCCTGGAAATATTATTTGAAATTGTATTTTGCTTATGTAGTTTTTATGCATGTTGTTTGTCGTGTTGAACAGAGTTCAATATTTTACCCTCATTCTAGTACAGGATTACTCGGAATGCCAACATGTGTATAATTAAGAGCATGCCATTTCTCATACAAAATAACTGAAAAGATCAGTGCATATTAACATACAGCAGCACATATATTTTAATTGGAACACTATTGACAGGAAAGAAATACACATTTTGCATGATTAAAATAATTTACCATTGTAATCATCTTCAGTTACTGTAGATTGATCAAAACCTAGAGTACATAAGTGTTTGAAGAACGCATGATAGCATACTGTACCTACTATATATCATCATTTACACCAACAGCTTTCCACAGGTGACAAACTTTAACAGATTGTCAATGACCGAGCAGTACTGAGATCCAGTGACTGTACTGAATTTAGAAAAGTCAAAATATGGCAATTCTCATCTAGGACTAAGAACCTCAGTCCTAGAAATGACATTTTAATAACTAACTGTACTGGCAGTGCATGTCTGAAGTCTAAAGGGAGTTCTTCAGAAACTATTTAGTAAAACTGCTGTGGTAATATTTCCAGCGCTGAGTCATTACAATACTAATGAGCCGCAGCTGTCTCCACTGTGAAATCTTTAGCCGATCTCTCACAATGACCCTGGGAAGGTCGCTCTGGCTGTTAGCCGTTTTTGCTGATAATTTACAGTAGGCTGTTTCTGTACCACATTATTCACGAAGGGGGCATTTCTGTGAGGCCTTTTCTCCGTCAGTGATGGAGAGTTGATGTCAGACAGCTGATGGAAGCTAAAGGCTGCGGACAGACTAATACAAAGCTCGTTTTATGCTTCGGCAAAAGTGATGCTTCATTTGAGTAGATGCTCTTTTTGAAAAAGCACATAACAAATTATTTGTTTCAAATGCATACTGATGCAAGGAGAAAATCAAGAAATCTAATAAGATTCTTTTCCCCTATGATTTGATTCCAATCTTAAAGCAATGAACAGACCTTTACTCAGTTCGCACACCCATGAAGTGCTTTTCATTTTCTTCACATGGTTAAATATAATAACCCTGGTTAGCTTTGACTGTGCTAATGCATTTTTTATTCAGATTCTTTGAAAAGGTGAACAGAGCTAGAAGACTGTTGTTTTGCTTAAGATAGGTATCTTAGTCTTACTGGAATTAAAATCGTGATGACCAAAAGAAAAATAAAACTGGGCAATGTTGGTATAGTTAGCTTGTTGTTTTTGTCTGTTTTCAAACCTATAGGAATGGAAAGATGCAGACGTTTCACATCTGTAAATTATGCACTCGTTCACATCTGTAAATTTCCTTCCTAAACCTGTTTGACCTGTTTGACTAAAGACTTTTATGAAAAATAATGCGAAACATTTGAGGAAATATGTGAGTGGACAGTTCATGCTATAATTCCTTCTTTGATTGTAAAACTAGTTCTGTAAGGTAGGTAACAATAAATATTAAATTTCTATAGTGTGATTTGCTGTCAGATTTAATGTGACACATAATCAGAGTTCTGATTAAACAATAATTAAAATAAGTAAACCATTAATACAGTTGTATATGCAGAGTTCCAGTGATGTCAGTGAAATAATTATTTAACTAGTTTTATACTTTTTATTGTTAATGATAATATTTATTGTTTGAATCACATCACAGACCTGTTAAGATGCTTTTTTTCTATAGAGGAGTAGAATAAAATTAACCTTCTCGACACCAAACATTTAAACAAGGTTATAAGACAAATTCCTTTCTTTGCGAAGATATTCAGTTATTATTTTGTGAAATTATAAAATGCTGCATACACACGTTTTTAAAACTTAATACTTTATTCAAAACCTGAATGATCAAACTGAGGCCTTTCAAGTATAAGAAACAATACAGTAAATGTAAACAAAAACTAAAGAGAAAAACCTGAAATGTTGATTGCATGAATAGTCAGACCCATTAACTCAA